ATCTACTAAAGCAAAAATATGCTGATCAACATTCAAAAATCAAGCGATACCCAACTCTCACATACTTAAGAATGTTAAGTTAAGATGTTGCATTTCCGACTTCTTCAGTGATAAGTCCCTCCCTGCCTTGCCTCCCGGTTACCTTTCTTACAACCCTGGAAGTGTTTCGGTACATCTTCTTAAGTGCACCCTGTACATGTCTGCTATGTACAACTATCAATGAGTTTAAGAAGTTTACAAGTATGTTGGCCAGGCCATCAAAAGCGAATAGGTATTCACAAAATGTCTCGTTGCTTTCCCAGTGTGGAAGAACTTCTAGGAATCCGCTGAGGTTGATCAAACTGTTCATGTTTACAACGAAATTTAGACCAAATCCTAAGATGTAAACACCCCCAAAAGCGTAGAGAAGCCTCAAGTCAGCTTTCATTTGCTGTAATGCGGGAACCGATGGCGTGTTCTCGATGTCAGCAATTCTGCTAAGGTTTTTTTAGCGGTTAGAAAGATCGTCAACAGTAGGATTATCACAATAGGAAAAGGAAGAGCAAATACCAGGACCAGAATGTTTTTCAGGACAACTCCAGTGATCTCACTGTTAAGCTTTTTCCAAGGAGCGCCTTCTTGCCGAGTCAGATACCACAATGTTGAATGTGCTGCACTCACAATCCAAATGAGTATCACTACAGCATAAGTGGTCCTGATAGAAAACCCTGGTTTTCCACTGATGATCCTGTACCGGTTTATCATCATACTCAGCACAGTAAGAGACCACACCGACCTGGGCATATAATGTTGTTAGAGCTAGCTTATAAAAGTGTTGGACGTGTTACTTTTTATCCAAGTATCAATGGAATTTGTAACCTGAAAATTTATTGAATTCGACTTTTAAACGATAATATTACCTTAGGACGTGCAAGGCTAAAGATAACTGGTGCAATTTCACCCAAATGGCAAAATTGGCTGGAACTAAGACCATACAAATCCCTGTTACAGCCATGATGGCATCTGCGAGAGCAATGTTGAAGTATAGAAGAGAATTTGGGAACTTGTAGCATTTTGATAAAATTAGAGCGAGCATTATTATTGCAGCCAGGAAAAGAACTGCTCCCAGAAGCAAGAGTGAAGGAACTGTCATCATGTTCTTTATCTGCAACACGGAACTGCTGTTTAATGAAGCATTTGATAAACTGTCGCAGTTATTCAAATTAATCATGCTTCGTTGTATATCATGCAAATTTATATAACCACTACGATTATACTACCAGTGGAACTGGCAGCTTGATGTTCGGATAGACTTAAAACTAAAGAACTGGTGCGGGAATGCAGGAAGCAAAATGTGGTTGTGAAGAACTCATCTTAGGATCCCTCCGTTTACTAGATAAAAGCTGTTCAAGCTACTCAATCAACGTTTACAGTGTTGAATTACAGGTTTACTCACACTGTAGGACTGACATGAATAGGTACAAATTTCCCTTACATGTTTATGAAGGTTCAAGAGATTTAGGACACCACAGAAACAACTTCGTAAACTTTTTGGAATAAAAATGCACTGCGTAAATGGCAGCTGAACAAAATTTAATAAGAGATGTAATAGCGTATTTAAAATATGTTGCAATATTCCAAATCAAATACAAGTCAAACAATCTTATCTACCGCATCAAAAATTTCGAACTAAACATTAATGTCTCCGTCAAAGAATTATATCTACTAAAGCAAAAATATGCCGATCAACATTCAAAAATCAAGCAATACCCAACTCTCACATACTTAAGAATCTTAAGTTAAGATGTTGCATTTCTGACTTCTTCAGTGATAAGTCCCTCCCTGCCTTGCCTCCCGGTTACCTTTCTTACAACCCTGGATGTTTTTCGGTACATCTTCTTAAGTGCACCCTGTACATGTCTGCTATGTACAACTATCAATGAGTTTAAGAAGTTTACAAGTATGTTGGCCAGGCCATCAAAAGCGAATAGGTATTCACAAAATGACTCGTTGCTTTCCCAGTGTGGAAGAACTTCTAGGAATCCGCTGAGGTTGATCAAACTGTTCATGTTTACAACGAAATTTAGACCAAATCCTAAGATGTAAACACCCCCAAAAGCGTAGAGAAGCCTCAAGTCAGCTTTCATTTGCTGTAATGCGGGAACTGATGGCGTGTTCTCGATGTCAGCAATTCTGCTAAGGTTTTTTTTAGCGGTTAGAAAGATCGTCAACAGTAGGATTATCACAATAGGAAAAGGAAGAGCAAATACCAGGACCAGAATGTTTCTCAGGATAACTCCAGTGATCTCACTGTTAAGCTTTTTCCAAGGAGCGCCTTCTTTGCGAGTCAGATACCACAATGTTGAATGTGCTGGGCTCACAATCCAAATGAGTATCACTGCAGTATATGTGGTCCTGATAGAAAACCCTGGTTTTCCACTGATGATCCTGTACCGGTTTATCATCATACTCAGCACAGTAAGAGACCACACCGACCTGGGCATATAATGTTGTTAGAGCTAGCTTATAAAAGTGTTGGAAGTGTTACTTTTTATCCAAGTATCAATGGAATTTGTAACCTGAAAATTTATTGAATTCGACTCTTAAACGATAATATTACCTTAGGACGTGCAAGGCTAACGATAACTGGTGCAATTTCACCCAAACGGCAAAGTTGGCTGGAACTAATACCATACAAATCCCTGTTACAGCCATGATGGCATCTGCGAGAGCAATGTTGAAGTATAGAAGAGAATTTGGGAACTTGTAGCATTTTGATAAAATTAGAGCGAGCATTATTATTGCAGCCAGGAAAAGAGCTGCTCCCAGAAGCAAGAGTGAAGGAACTACCATCATGTTCTTTATCTGCAGCACGGAGCTACTGTTCATCGAAGCATTTGATAAACTGTCGCAGTTATTCAAATTAATCATGCGAGCAGTGACTGGTTCGGATTAGGGGAACACTAAAGAACTGGCGCGGTAAATAAAATGTGGCTGTAAGAAATAACTGTCTTAATCTACTCAATCTACTCTAAAGCTGCTCCAATCTACTCAATGAACGCTGATAGTGTAAAATTGTAAGTGTTTTCTTTCTGTAAGAATATTTTGTATATGTATATTGTGGAAGCCTTGTCCACGAGTATAAATGGTCTCCGCGGAATCCCAGCCCACACTCAACCACTAACATCTCGTCACTGAGTAGCAATAAATTCATACGCCCTATTACCGAATAAGAAGTGGAACGACCTTATTAAAATATTTTAACGTGGAGAGAGGGGCTCGAATAAGTACATGAATTTCTCATCCACATTTGTGCCATATTAATTAAGGGGCTAAGGTCACCAAAAAAAATGTATATATAAATAAAAAATGTATACTAAATTAAGGTATTTTAATTTTGTATGTCTCTTAAATCAGATAAAAGCAGACGATTTACAAATCATAATCTCCACCGCGGTCCGCGACAACAATTCCATAGATTAAAAATGTTTTCGGCAAAGATCAATATGTACTTCAGCAGGCAAGTTCTGATCAGCATTATCCAACTCTGAAAGATTCAAGAATCAAGATGCTACATTTCGGACTTCTTCCTTGATAAGCCTCTCCCTGTCCTCCCGTCCTGTTACCTTTCTCACAACCCTGGAAGTGTTTCGGTACATCTTCTTCAGTGCACCCTGTACATGTCTGCTTTGAACAACTATCAGTGAGTTTGAGAAGTTTATAAGTATGTTGGCTAGTCCGTCAGAAGCAAACAGATATTCACAGAATGTTTCGTTGCTTTCCCAGTGTGGCAGAACTTGCAGGAATCCGCTGAGGTTGATCAAACTGTTTATGCTGACAACGAAATTTAGACCATACCCTACGATGTAGACAGCCCCAAAAGCGTAGAGAAGCCTCAAGTCAGCTCTCATTTGTTGCACGGCTGGGGTCGATAACAGTGTGTTCTCTTGGCTGGCAATTCTTCTAAGGAGTTTTCTGGCCTTTACAGAGATCATCATCATTAGGACTATTACAATGGGCAGGGGCAGAGCAAAAACTAGGACCAGCAAATTTCTCAGAATAACTCTAACAATGATGTCTGTATTGGCTCGGTTCCAAGGGGCTCCTGGGGCAATTAGGTACCAACAGACCGCTTATGCTACGCTCTCCGTCCAAATGAGTATTACGAGAACATAAGTGGTCCTGATAGAAAACCCTGGTTTTCCACTGATGATCCTGTACCGGTTTATCATCATACTCAGCACAGTAAGAGACCACACCGACCTGGGCATATAATGTTGTTAGAGCTGGCTTTCAAACAGATCAGACTTGTTAATACTCGAAACAAACTTCTGGCTTTCGATCTGTTAAGTAGCGTGTTTTTACTAAAAATATGTTTAGGTGACATCTTACCTTAAAACAAGAAGTGTTCCAGCTAAATCGTAATAATTTGACCAAACGGAAGAGTTGGTTGGAATTAATACCATTAGAATCCCAGCTGCAGCCATGATGGCATCCACGAGAACAATGTTGAAGTATAAAAGAGAATTAGGGAACTTGAAACAGTTTGATAAAATTAGAGCGAGCTGTATTATTGCAGCAAGAAGAAGAGCTGCTCCGAGAAGCAAGAGTGAAGGGACTGTCAATATGTTCTTCACCTGCAGCACGAAGCTACTGTTGAATGAAGCATTCGAGAAACCATCACAGTTTGTCAAGTTTATCATAATAAGCTTGATTCGGCCACAACAAAGTACAAAGGCCAATTCCAGCGAAAACTGGGAGTATGATTTGATTATGAGCCTCACTTCAGCTAAATGTATCATATCACAAAAACAATGTGTAACGGTGTCCCTTGTTACTCAATTTTCAGATCTAAGTTAAAAATAAAACTTTACTGCACCAACTTTGTTCATAAGTAGTGATGAGCTCTTGTGTATGAAATGTGGTACATCTAAATTAGAGAACTATCATTCTATGTGTCTCTGAAATCTTCGTATCCCAATTTAATTCTCTCTAAATTATTCTAAACAAACCATTTCCAGGTTAACTGGACAAGGAAAGCTGGTAACTACTGGGTTAAGTACGTGAATATTCAGCTTCTTGGACAGACCGGTTTTCAAGACGACCAACCTATCAAGAAAGGAGACAGGTTTGCTATCTTTATTAACTGCATTTCAATTAAAGTATGCAGGCCAAATTCTTAACTTTAACCATAGCTGTCTTATCCCAATAATCCGCGACGACAATTTTGTTTTTACCGAATGTGAAACTCCCCTCCTCCCTAGAGTACGAGTGAAAGCGAGTGTGACCACGCCCAAGTACAAGTGGGGCAGTGTCTCCCACCAAAGTATCGGGATAGTGTCGGAAGTCATCGCCAGCAAACAGGACGTGTATGTCGACTTTCCGGAACAGAAAAAGTGGACTGGACACATCTCCGAAATGGAAAAGGTTTGTTTTTATTCCGTCATACGGGAAATATTTTAAATATTATCATGAATAATGATAGACTATGCATATTTTGTAATTAAGCATTTGAGCCTATCTAACGGTAGAACTTGCTACAAATTATTATCGACTATTCTAATTTATTCCATTTAACCCATCTCTCCTCCCTGCAGATCCCGGTATCGCACGTGGGCACTTTCTGCACTCAGTGTAACCAGTGTCCAATTCAAGGTCCTCTCTTCTCCTGCACCCTGTGTAGAGGAGTTGACATGTGCCTCACCTGCTTTAAGAGCGTCAGAAACCATTCCCACCCTTTCAACAGGATCAACGAACCTGGAGACATCCCCATGCCAGCTGGTATGTTATTACCCTAGTTACCCATTTTTGTGGATATTGTAGCATCAAGATTCTGGATATAAATTCAAATTCATCTGTAATCTGTATCACTTAAGTTATAAATATAATTCCGTATTCCACTAAACTTATATTGTATGGTCTAAAAAAGTGTGTATGTTTACCTAGATTATCTCTAGGAAAGCCAGGTCGGAGTAAGCGACGCCGACACAGCCTGATATACGAGTGGAGGAAGTGTGTAAAGAGCCTGAGTGTGAGTTCCAGGGAGGGTCAGGCTAACTACCTGTGTGATGGTAGTGATCAGTACTGGACTGGGAGTGGGGTCAAACACTGGATAAGACTGGAGATGCATCAGAACGTGCTCGTTACCAAGCTTACCATGGTGAGGATCAGTCATTAAAAGAACTGTGGAAGTTTTTTACTACACGTACCTGTGTTGTACCGTCGGATCTATTGTTGAACAACTATGGAAAAGGAACAGATTAGAGTTTTTCACATCAACTCGATTAAATTCTTGAACCATTGACAACTATCTATCTACTATATAATTATATTTTTAGACGATGTTAACGGAAGCCTCAGAGCAGATCTACCACCCCATGTCAGTCACAGTCCTGGGAGGGGACACTATCTGGACTCTGAAGGAGCTGAACACTGTGGAGATGAACCCTGGAGAGTATGTTACCACCCTGCTCAGGAACTGTTCCGAGGAGCACCGGTATATTGAGCTAGTTATCAGAGGCAAACGACCTGGTATCGATATAAAAGTGAAGAACATTGGAGTTGTGTGCCGGCCAAGGACTGTACAGGATGACATTGCTAAAGGTACATTATTATTGGGGGTATTATTATAATATGACATGGTGTAAAACCTAAATGTAAAATTTTTGACTTGAAGGTTAAATTACAAATTGTTAAACAGAAGTTTAGAAATTATCTAAATGTTTCTGGTAAAATTCTCTAATTATTTTTCCAACCACGTCGGTCATAATCTTAAATTAAGGAATAGTAATGCACTTTCTATCGCAGGTTTGTCCTACTTGCTGGCGGAGAGCGCGGTTTCTCCAACTGCAGAAACAGGAGAAGGAACTAGTGCGTCTCAGGAGGACAGCGGTATTAATGTGAGTACTAAATCAACACACAGCTAGGTGAACTTCAATATTTTGGAAGTAAAAAAACCATTTGATCACCCACCTCTTTTGAGTCTTTAATACCCAGGTAATACATGCCCCATAAGTCCACGCATTTACCCAGGTTTACCTATGGGGTCTGAACGATAAAGAACAGTTGGGAGGTTTAAGGGGCAGCAAAGTGAAGACACCGTCTCTGTCACCAGTGTTTACTGAACTTGGGGTCACCCACGTTGCTGGCGGAAGTAAGAGTCTCTTCGCTTGCACCAGTGACGGCAAGGTTAGTCTACACTCTACATGGTTGTAACCATCGTAATTTTGTAGTTCATTTGGATGGAACTCATGGAAATCTAAGTGTAATGAGAATACGGGTATGATTCTGTAACTTGTATTTCAGTCTTATTAGCTTATTGTAGAATTTAATTCATGACAATTTGTACTGTGATTAAGAGTGTGAATTATTGGTTACTAAACGAAGTATTATAATATCAGGTGTACGCGTGTGGGGAGGGCAGTAAAGGAAGACTGGGTCTGGGACACAGCAACAACGTGTCAGTACCTCAGCTAATAAAGGGGCTCAGTCAGTATGTTATCAAGAAGGTGGCCATACATTCTGTTGGAAAACACTGCCTTGCTATTAACACAGCCGGTAAGTTAGCTCAGGGTGTAAAGTTGTATTTTTATACCATGATACTTGTGGGAGACGTTGTGTTGTCAATATTTAGGTTGAGTATTAAATCTTCGGGATATTGTTACACACTGCACGTGAGGTCGGCAGAATAGTGACCTTCTTTCGTAAAGAATGTTGGAATAGGAACCAGAAATTCTATATCTGCAGTTGTAAATAGTTCAGAACAATCGTCAATGTATAAAAGGAAAAATAGATAAATATGAGATTACAAAATTGTTACCAAAATAATGACGATAATACGTCTCTGCTCAGTATTGATGAATGTTTAAGAAGTAAAATAGGTTGATAAAGGCTCTAGTTGATATGGGTTCTAGTTGCCCTTGTCTCTCATCAGTTAAACAAGATGCTTGGTATAACAATCACACCGTTGTTACAAGTCTTGGTCTTCTAACAACTCGCTGATTCCTCACTTTGTTTTGTCCTGAAAACAAGAACTGTAGTTGTATTGTAGTTGTGAGTGCATCTAGCTTACCTTGTATTTTTTGACATTGACAGTTTCTATGTAAAATGCAGAATTAAAAGGGATTAAGCTTGCTAGTCCAGCATATATTGTGTGATCTTACCTTTACCAGAGATAACCCCTTTAACAATGTAACCCTGGAAAGCAGGAACTTCCTAAAGCTGCTCACTGTCAAACTGTAGATATAGAAGTTTGACATCACGTTAGTGCAGATGACGGCAAGGGAGAACCTGTAGAAATAAACATGGAACCACCCCTTAGGATCATCCTTCACAAAATCTGCCATAATGTGGTAGAGTGTGATGGGTAGAACTGACAAGCAATACACCACAGCTGTTAGTATAACTGTCATCAAACCCTGCCATCGCAGGCTGTCACGACCCCGTTTTGCAACTTTCCTAGCCTCGATTATAAGCCATGCAGTGGTGGAGATAACTATGATGCTGGGCAGCATTGATGTGAATATCCCCGCTATGGGCCGTAGATATTTCCAGACATCCGATGAAAACATGTAGTTACACGCGTACTCTTTGTAGTCAAACTGAATGTCATCTTTTTCCACGATTAAAAGAAGAAGGGGTGTAAAAAAGGAGCTTACCCAGATCCACCCACACAACATGTGAGCTCTCCTCTTAGTCCAGTGTCGCTCCTGAAGTGGGAACTTGAGGAGAACAGCCTTGGTCGTGGTCAGAGCTGCTGTGAAGTAAAAACTGGCGGGAAAGGAAAAGTAGGTTACGTAAGCTCTGACATAGCAGAGAAACCCTCCCAGGATATTCCGTTCAGCTAGCAACGAGGCGATGAACAGGGTGAGGTTAACCGAGGTTATGAGATCACAAACTGCAATGTGCTGCATGATGGCAACTATGGTCTTGTGCAGCTTGAAGGCGTTGTATTTTGTTGAAGCCACCAGTATGATGGAGTCCCCGATGAGGGAGGAGAGGATGTTGAAGGTTCCGTAGGAGACCCACGTGTACCTCACCGCGGAGTTGTGGATACCATATTGAGTGTAGTTGGTGAATGTTAAGTCCATCTCTGTTGTGGTGATGATGGTTCAAGGTGGTTATTTTCATTTATATATTAAAACTCTGCTTATGGAGTAACAGATCAGACTTGAAAGTCATAATTAAGGATAAAAAACTTTCAATTAAAGTGAGGAGTGTAAATCAATAAATTGTAGAGATAACCGGCCCGGCCCCGGCCCTTTATTAAGCTAGATTTCTTCTGCCATGAAAATGATTAAGGTCGCTGAAAATTGTACACGGTTTAGTACCTAAATTGTATGTATAGTTGAAATTCTAGTGGAGTTTTAGTATAGTGACCTGCAACACTGGAAATTGAAACTACCGGGAATGCAGTTAAAGGTTCAAAGAAACGAATTTACAAGAACAGGATATTTCAATCTCATTCTGGGTTTAAGTATGATTCAACTGTAATGTAGGTTGGTCTGCGCGGAGCCTCCTAGCCGTACGTCAAAGATAACCACTATACAATCACCTGGTTATAATGTAAACAACATGCTCTACAGTACACGAGTGACAAGTTAAACGACACTGAATACAAATGACGGACCTGATTATTCTATATTATCTACCATATTATATATTTAGGATCTTCAATATTAGGTCTAGTTCTTGAAAATTGACTTCATTCCCTTTGAAATACGGCTTTGAGTACTAGAGTGCTGTACCCACACCCAGAAAGGCGACAGATAATCTGCGAGGAAATTTTGGATTTTTGAGGAAATTTTTAAAGACATTGATCAGTTATTATGTCATATAATTATTAGATCGGAGCTCTGGTCAGTTAAAACAATTTGTTTTCTACATGGCTTGTTGGCTGGTTGGTTATAGAACCCGTCCCCAATCTCGTATCGGAAAATGATCCAACTCAATACTAAGTGTAAATACGGGTGGTATATGCAATGGTATTTACCAAGCATTTAGAGTTGTTTTCTAAATAACTCTATTTATTTCAGGTCGAGTATTCTCATGGGGTGATGGAGACGATGGCAAGTTAGGGCACGGAAACTGCACCATGTTGGAGGAACCTAAGATGGTGCGTGTCTTATCGATCTTAATTCATAAGATATGAACGTTTCTCCCAAGATTATATTCAAATTTACTGGTTTGACGATCACTAATTATAGGGTGAAATTTAAGTTTCGTGTTATAGATTTATAACAGTTCAATTCACTGTATCAATTAACTCCATGCCATATTAATAGTACTCGACCCCACTAGATCGATTGTCTGAAGTCTAAGCGTGTGGTTGACATAGCTTGCGGAGATGGACACAGTGCGGTTATCACCTCCTCTGGAGAGCTCTATTCCTGGGGTCTGGGGACCTATGGTAGATTGGGACACGGGGATACTAAAACTTATCACAAACCTAAACTGGTTAGTGACTCTGGGGATTTAGTTGACTCTCATTTCTAGTTCTGTTTTTGTTTTGCTTTTTAATTCCATTCATTTTCTTTTTTATGACGTGTAAGAGAGTTATTTTACAAAAAAAACTTTCTTGATAAAAGGATTTCGAATTTAAAAGAACTTTTATTAAAACGTCTTTTACGTCTTTTATCTTTATTTTTAACATGAGTTTGATAATTAGGCTGCGTGACCTTCAATCATTTGATGAATTAAAACAGCAACCGACTGTACCTTTTCCCTCATCCAACACTTCAACAGAAGACTGGTGGTCAATAAATATTCCCGGAAACTTCTTAACGACACATAATAGATAATCGGATTAGCAGAAAAATTAGTATATGTAGCAAAAACCGCAAATCTGTAATAATAAACGGCGGCGTAGACATTAGAACTTAGGTTTAGCGGCCCTCTTAAAACGTAGAACATGCCCCACGGAAGGAAGGAGAAGAAGTAACATGTGGATATTGAGAGTAAGGTGACAATCCCTTGTCGCTGGATTCCTCTTATTCTTCTCAGGTAGAAGAGCTGCCAAACGATGCCAGCAGCTACCAACAACATCGGCAAAAGCATAAACAACGCCACATTGATAAAGGGTATAAGCTTAAGGAGTCTCCCAACAAAATATCCTTCACAGCGGAAGAATGACAGCCTGAACTCGACGATTCGTCCCAAAAGAATGTTTGGAACAATGTTGAAAAGTGGTAAAACCCACATCATGCAGCAGATGATAACCCCAGTGACTCTCCTCCTGGCCCTGGCCTGCAGAGGGAACAACAGCGTGGTCAGCTTACTAATGTTCAGAGCACAGATCAGGTTAATCTCCGCTATTCCAAAGTACAAACTCCAGTAGTTGGAAATCTCGCACATAACCTGCCCGAAATTCCATCCGTTCTGGATTACTGAGACAAGTGTGATGCCGACGTTGAAGGTAAACGCGATGTCCACAATCGCTATGTTCCGGATTATTGTCACTGAGACCCTGTCGAGCTTAATTGAATGTATTTAATAGAGGAGATGAGAACGACGAGATTGCCGACCACTGAGAAGGTTATCGCAGTTATGCACCAGATCGCTAGTAGGACGCGGGAGTGCAATGCTGTTTCCATTTGGAACATGACATGTCGATCTCGTTTGATTAGGCATGTTTAATGATGAGTTCCTTGTCGACATCATCTGAATAATGAAACGTTAAGCAGAATTGATCGTTTTAAAAATTTTCCTAATGTCCTGCCTGAAAATCAATAAGTACACAAGAAAATATTCTAGCAATCTAATTGATTCTAACGTAACCTCTTGACAAAAATGTTTAATTAATTTATTCCTCGATTCTTATTTTCATTGCCCAGCTTATAAGTAGTACTTTCTCGCTAATAATATAATACGTAATATGCACCTTAGCGCGCAGCTTGAGTATCATGAAATATTAAACGAATTCTTACATCAAGTAATGGGAACGCTTACAGACTACAGAGGCTAGTCACGAGTGTTGAAGATATACCTAAACATCTTGATTTTATATGCATTTTATTGTAGGCTAATGATAATACTCGTGTGTGTGACCTGAATTTCTTTTGATAACCATTATTATTGTATTCAGCCCTCAAACCAATTGGCTATTTAGCGTTATCATTTCCTACCTAATAATGGACGATAATTATTAACTATTAGTCCTCTTAGTGACTATTTGTCAATAGTTGGGTTCTGACACCATGTCTAAAATTTAATAATTCTACCTTTTGTCACAAGGAAGGAGCTAATAGTATTCTTTGTTTACAGATTCAAAAGATATCCATCCCAATTAAATCGAAGTTACGGCTGATCCAAATTTAATAGGCACTGAAAACAGATCATAATTTCGCTCAAAATAATAGCTGAATACCTATTATGAAACGCACCTAAAACAACGTAATTGCTATAATATAAAGTATAAACAGATCAAAATATCGTTCAAATTATAACCTTTGCACGTGAGCATTTGCCGAACCGTTATAATTATATGCATTAATATTTGCAACTTTTTATAAAAAAGTATCCAGCTTAGTGCTTGCTGTCATATTATAGCAGATCAGGATAAAGACTTTGAGTCAAGCTGCCCATAAAGCTGAGCTTGAGAGTTGCACCATGAAATTTAAATTTAAATTGAAACACTTATAAAATACTTAGATTCTGTCATGCAGACGCTTATAGAAACCTGCACGAGTATTGGAGATTTATGTTAAACTTGAAACATCTTGATTCTGGGTGCATTTTATTGTAGGCTAAAAAATCATAGTATGATAATATAATATGTATTATCTCAAAACACTATCGATTAAATAACGAAATCATTAATGTTTTTTCAACTATCAAGTGACGTGACGACATCCAATATAGATAAATAATGCAATATCGGGTTACGAAATCAATCTCTCAGCATTCAGCAACTTCGTTCGAAACTCATTATATGCAACAACGTGATGTAAAGTTTATTTGTATTTCAAATTTGTATTTTTTTAAAAAGTGTTTTTAATAACGTCCCTTGCAGGTATCCGCGTTCAGGGGTTACAAAGTGGTGACGGTAGCATGTGGCAGCAAGGACGCACAAACACTAGCAGTGACTGACAACGACCAGGTGTGGTCCTGGGGGGACGGAGACTTTGGGAAGTTGGGACGAGGGGGTCACGAAGGGTGCCACGTTCCTAAAGTCATTGATAGTCTCAACGGGACTCAGATTGTACAGGTTAACCGAGTTTAATGGATTATTTTTGTGCAAGGGATCTTCTTAGTGCTTTGTTCAGAACTAAAAGTTGTTTGAAAGTGAAACCACTTACCAATGCGTGAATGCGAGTCAAGACTCAATTTAATCTCATTTTAAAGACCCATCCATACTTCATCACTCTAGCTTTACCATTTAACTTTCTTTGGATAATGTTAGTGAATTAGTGTTCTGAATACGTTATAAATTCGGGCAGCTTCTTACTTGCTGAGATTGTAAAGTGACCAACCGACTGACCAATGTCAGCAAATTAATTGTTGGTGTGTTACTGTTCAGTGTACATATTGTGGTGAAACGTGGTGGACCAGAAGATCCCATTTCTGAGCATCACACAATAAAGGAAGCTCTTGATACTACGGGAGGAATACCCGGATCTGGAATTATAACTATTGGAATATAGAACAAACTAGAAGTAGTTATTCTCAATTTTTTTATTCGCCGGAAATTCGTTGGTGCTAACAGTAAACTCCTCAGATCCACTGCGGAGCTCAGTTCTCTGTGGCACTCAGTCGGGAAGGTAGAGTCTACACTTGGGGCAAGGGTGAGTTCTACAGACTGGGGCACGGTACAGACACACACGTCCGGATTCCGCAAGAGGTGGAGGCTCTTGTTGGCACTAAAATCGTCAAGATCGGTGTGGGATCCTTGCACTGCTTAGCTCTTTCTAGTTCTGGAGAGGTGAGAAATGTGTGAAATGTGAAACTGAGTATTTTGCAAATGCTTTTAGTGCGAAATGATGTCCAGAATCTTACACGTTACCAATTCTATCGACTGTTTTCCTACTTTAGAGGAAAAAACGATTCTCTCATGATCAGTGTGTAACTGTCCATAATGTAAAAGTTGTTATCTCACTCTTGTTTACGCTAATATAATGCATTAAATAGGGGTGCAATAACTGGGAGGGAGATAACTATTGTTATCTCCCTGGTCTATCCTTAGTCGCTGAGATGTTGCTAATTATTTTAAAAACAGAAAGTGGTATAACTTATATTCTGATAAATATTTTTGCTTCAAAATTTTACAGAATGTCAATAACAAGTAGTCAACCATTTGTGGCAAGTTTTGTGTGAGTGTGAGCTTCACTGAGCTTATTTGACCAATTTAAAATAATTAGCAACATCTCAGCGACCTGTAACAATTTTAAGAGATAAGGATGTGTCCTCTAGAAAGTTTGACTCTGGAATGTTCTATGTAGTAATATTATCGGTCGTTAATTTCCGATGTAAATGCTGCATTCGCTAACATCATTTCGTAGATCATCAGAGAATGCATTTACATCACTGCTTATAATATGATAACATGAGTTATATCCCTCGGTCAAACCTCGGGATATAACTCGTTTTATCCAACTCGTCAAAATCGTTGGATAAAACTATTTTCACAACTCAAAGTTGTGAAAATAATGTTATCACATTATAAGCAGTGATGTAACTGCTTATTACCGCCCTCTAGTCACCTAGTGTTCTATGTTCGTTTCTAAATAGTCAACCACCATAGAAGTTTTTAGGCATGAGCCCGGTAGTTACTGTGCACGCACCCTTTAATTAATTGTAGCGTTAAATTGTTCACCTTTGTTTCTGTGAAAGGTGAATATATTGCACTGCTTAGCTCTTTTTAGTTCCGGAGAGGTGAAAAATGTGAAACAGAATATTTTTCAAAAGTTTTCAAGAATCAAATACGTTATATCGATTGTTTTAAAAGCTTTACAATTTATCCAAAACGCACGAAAAAACTAAAAATACGACCAAATGAATGTCAATGTATTTTCCATCGTACAGCGTACTACGCATCAGTTACTAGCAATTCCTTCTCCTTGCTGCTACACTGACTTATAGATTCTTGCATTGAAAATGATGTCGATCAACGAAATGAAAAATGGCGCTGCTGATCCTTTTAAAAGGTGCTCCATATTTATAGGGTTTCGTGGTTACAATCTGTCGTAGGCTGACAAAATGTCGCCGTGACAAATAATCATTGATTCCTATAAATAACTGTAAATGTCACTCCAGCACCACTACACGTCTTGAACGGACGTGATCGTTTAACTAACTATTTAATCCTGAAGGCTGAAACTGCAATTACACTCCTCTTAATCTGGATCATTTTAATGCGTTGTCTCCGTTACTAAAGCGGATCTCGTGTTCGGTGTTTTACTAAAATGGTACTTGCTTGTCGGATTGGAAGCTTTTCCGTGACAAAGGCCCGTATTCACCAAATTTGGTTAAAGTACGACCTTAAAGGAAGAATTTTAAGTGTCACGTTAAAGTGACACTTAAAAAGTTGGACCTCAATCGAAATTCGTATTCACCAACTGGAAATAGCTCGTACTTTAATTTATAGGTTGACCTATAACTCAAAATGGTATTCACCAATGTTTGATCACACGTGCGTGTTAAAGAAAGGTATTGTCATCGAACCACTTTCAAGCTGTTACTATTCCAGGTCGCAAACTTCCAGAATACGGCATATTTTTTTTAAATATACCATTACGCCATAAAATACACCACCATTTCCAATATGAATGTTTGTATTCACTATACCGATGAGACGGGTTGCTGTAGATATATACCCAAACACCTTCTTAATAAGGCTGGTTCACAAGGCTCCTCGCAAATCCAAAATATAACCAAATAATTGTTGATCAAGGCTTATCCTTCGTCCGCATAAGGCTCAATAACGACAAAAAATAACAGTCTCTACCACTCTAGATCTACGCATGGGGAGACAACGACCACGGTCAGCAAGGAAACGGCGGCACAACAGTAAACAAGACCCCCCAACCAGTGGTGGGTCTGGACTCTCAGAAGATAACCCACCTGTCCTGTGGGAGCTCCCATTGTGTGGCCTGGGCTGAGACCGGGGTCATTCTCCAGCCTCAACACACTCCTATTAAGTTCAGTGTCGCTACTGATCCTCTCGGCAGCTCTATGATCAAGGTTTGAGGATTATGTGATAGAACGTGTTCGTTCTGCATCTGTTGGAGGTTTCCTTGGAATGTGGCATTGTTTAGATGTTTGGTTTCCTCCGGTGATTTTCTGACCGGTATTGACTCAATCCTCTAACTTTCAGAACAAAAAAGATGCAAGTAAATGTTCCATCACCACCTCTCCCGGATCATTGCAGATAACTCGAGCTTTGCCTTCACTGGCTAAAGTCATGCTGGGGCTTGAGTGTGGCGACCAGAAACAGGGTGCTCTGTCCTTTATCATCAAAGCTATGGAGGTAAAAAACTTTAAAACTTGTAATTGTCTCTTAGTGACTATCTTAGTGTGAAAGTTGTTACCCATCAGGCGATGTTTGCGATGGACGGTGTAATAACGTGTTACCCATCAGGTGATGTTTGCAAGGGACGGTGTTATAACAGCATTAGATACGCACGTTAAAGGGATTAAAGCTCCTGTAGAGACTGATAGAGTCCTACCACTCCAGCACTCACTCGATCTGTTCGAGCTGATGGGCGCTGGGGACGCCTGCTTCCTTGTCGAGCTGCTCAAACTTGCGGTTTGTCATTTTACCATTTTACGGCGAAGTGTGAATATTATCACCGTTGCTTAACCGATTAGTTATTCTTATCTCAAAAGAATACACTGGACGATAAATGTATTGTCATGATTTAGTAGACTCTAGAATTTATGAATAATCAATTAAAGACTACTTCAGCCTTGTGTACGTATACCATTTTGCTATATCCTATTCTTGATTGATGTTTGATGGTAACGATATTTCTCTCATCAGGTAGTGGGGAGGGCAGGTGAGCATGGCAAGCAAGCACTGTCAAGGGTCCTTAAATCCCTTGGTCAAGCTAATCCTGAAATTGCAGAAATCCTCTTAGAGTTTTGTATCACAGAATTGGAAGACGTTGTAGCCGAGGTTTTTTTTCAGTACTTCTTAAAACTTTTTGTTAAATACGCTAAACTTCATCAAGATAAACAATCTTCCAGCCGTTAAACTTCAAACCACCTGATAGTTTTAATAGTACCTCGTTGACTTACAAGTACAACACAACTAAACCCACAGGTAGACAACCAGCGATCCGCAGAGCCGGTCTGCCGTGAGTCTCCTCACCCTCACTCTCTCAACGCCTGCCTCATGGGTCAGATAAAGTTCCCTAAGGCTGTGGGGATCAGGATTGAGTTTGATCCACGGTGTAGCACAGAGAAACCTCAGCACTGTCTGACATTCGCTGACACAAAGGTTATTCCCTTGTATATATGTTATACAGATTTATTGTAAATTTTAATGACCGAGAGCGCGAATTGGTGTATCGAACCCCCTCGCTCTCGCCTTATATAGGCACCCACTCTAATCCCCTCAAGTCTTTTCAAAGTCACTTATAGAAACATTTTTAACAGTATAAGAGTCACTCAATCATAGAACTGCCCAATCGCAGAACTCCACTAAAATAAATTCTAGTAACGGCCACTCTGGACTCGAAGTTTAACAAAAGCTTCACTACGTAGAAATTGAATCTTAAAGAGGGTAGAAATGGGACAAGGTGACCTACCATAAACACTAAATCCATAAGACCCAACCACTACAAGTATATTTCCAATATTTGCATTGGTCGTCATATTTTTTGATTATCTTTAATTCTTGATTTATTTTGGGTCTGAAGAGACTACATAATACTCAAATTTAAATAAATGTTAATATATTGAAATAAATTTGAATACCTTTCAGGGTCGCATAATCGCAACGCGGAGCGGAAGAGACAAGTCCGAGTGGGCAAAAGACATCCACATAAACACTACGGAAATAAACTGGAAGTTCTCCAGCGACAGCTCGCCTGCTGGATGGGGATTTAAGTATGTGCTCAGTAAAAACACTTCTAGGAATCCTCTGTACTCATTAGAAATTTTGCAACTAAGAAATTAATTTGGTTCATGCGATTTCCTCTACCTATTTTAGATTTGTCTCCAGTGAAAATGTTACCGAATATATTAAATAACGTTTGCAGGTTCAAAGCTTTCCCTATCCTCCCTCCACCAGTATCAGCGGATGCTATGCCCGACAGATTGGTTCAAGCTAAACCAAGCATCGAAATGGTTGGTTTTGTTCTTAAAACACATAAACTCAATCTTTATAGAAATATCCTAAAGAGTCCATTATTATTTCAGTCGGATGATATTAATTATAGTGATAAATAAAACAATCGAATGTTTACTTGTAGCCATGGTTGATGGTTCTTGCCTGTTCTATAATTTGTTTATAATAACGTTATAACGCGTATAATACTGCCCTGAAATCATCCCTTAACCAACAACAACTGAACAACTGCTTGTAATGTGTAATGTGTAATGACTCGTGTGTAACAGGTAATGTGTAATGTGTAATGTGTTATGTGTAATGTGTAATGTGTAATGTGTAATGTGTAATGACTCGTGTGTAACAGGTAGTGTGTAATGTGTAATGTGTAATGTGTAATGACTCGTGTGTAACAGGTAATGTGTCTACTTGACGAGGACCTAGAGAAGAGTGGTGTGGCCAGTATGATCCAGAGACTAACCTCAGCTCTCGCTTCGTGTGCCCAACTTAGTCAACTGTCAGCTGATAAACGAACTTGGGCCTTACAGGTTAACTATTTTTAAAAGTATTTTGTACCATGAGGGGAGAGGATTGTTGGTATATTAACCTGGAAATGACTAAAATGACCCCGCATAAACCTGATTACTACCGTTTCACAATTATTGATAAAAGTACGGTTTAAAAATTTGCATGGGGTGGTGACTGGCATTTTCTTACATTTTCAGCATCTACGGGGTGTGCTACAACTGGACAACTGCCCATCACTGGACGTACAAGAACTTCTACAAAACCAGATTAACAGCTCCGAGGGAATCAACAATTCTTTAGGTATGTCAAGTTGTGTGGTGTCCGTTTTGGTACTAGAATGACCTACCATCATTGACATTCAACTTCCACGTCTTTAAGTCGACTCTAAAATTCTTTATTAACCCGGAATAGGATTCGCTATTTGCAAACTTACACCGGAATATTTGCGAATCATTATTATCTATCATAAATAGTTCCAAGAATCCAAAATAAAGAAAAAATATCTCCCAGAAACCGCTAAATAAATTCCACTCTGACCAGGTGTGCTGGTAAAAGGGCTGCTGGAAGTCCTACAGAAACAGCACGACCACGAGGCACCTTTGGTACTGGGAGGCAAGCAGCTGATGCACACAGAGTTCTTCAAGACCCTGGTGGCCTTCTGCTGCGACTTGGGGCTGGACAGATGTATCACTCAGCGGTCTTCAGACATCCAGAAGTGGAGCTGGTTTATCAAGTGAGTTGATCACGTGATACCGTGTCAGTGTGACTGAATGAATGATAGTCATGTCATGATCTATCTGTAAGTGCGTTTAGATGAAATTTTTCGAAATTAAACTTATCCCCATTACCATAAAACATAAAATCTGAGGATTGAACTGATGAAACATTGAGTTGGGGAACTACTGTTAGTTCCCAACTCAAAAGAATTTTGCAGGAACTGAATCATCAAAATATTAAACCTGCATATTCCAGATATTGTTCAGCAGCCCGTGTAGCAAATGCTCTGGACAAACGAACTGTTTTCCCGTCCCCCTTCCTGACTGAAGTGCATGACAGAGTGCTAACTGTATGTGGTCCTGGTGTCAGTGACCAGTCCTATGCTAACAACTCCCTTTTCTCGTGAGTACTAAAGATTATTCTGCACTTTTATTGAGATAAGTTGATAACCTTATTTTACGGTTGTAATATTCAATTTTTATACTTTTTTTATTTGTAAAGTATATTTACAAATAACAATAGTATAATGCTCAGATAATCTCGTGAAATGAACATAATTTGGTTCAGGAAGGAACTGTTGACTCAAAACCTCAAATTCTCAAATGATCTAATACAAGACTTTATATGACTAAGATTTATTTCACCCCAGACAAGAGATGGACATCCAGCTGCTAGCCTGTCAGAGTGCCTCTCCCACCCAGTGGAGTCTGACACCCTCTGGTAGTGGAGCTCTCTACCTTTGGGGTCACAATCATCGCGGCCAGCTCGGCGGAATAGAGGGACAAAAGGTTTGATAATCCCCCTGAACTCTTGATCCTGTTTGATTGTATCCTCATACTAATTGTCATTGAATTTTGGTCACCTTATCGCAGTTTTCTGCCGTGTTTGTTGCACAATTTATATGCAGGTGAATGACCTGACAATCATGCCTGATGACTCATCTGGTTAAAAGCACCCCAGTTTCAGCCTTATAAGGCATCATTGTCATAATGTTCGACCTATAAAAGTATAAAAGTTGAAAAGACTTTGAAGAGACTTTTAACTTTTTAAGAGAAAATAATGATTTATTGCATCATCTTCAGGTGACAAAACCAACCTTTTGCGAGAGTATAGCAGCCTTGCAGCCTACTGAAGTGGCTGCCGGAGAACAAACCATATTCATCATTTCTGACGGAAAGGTCTACTCAGCAGGTAAGATACTGATAATTGACGTGGTGTGACGTCATTTTACGTTGTGTGACGTCATGTCACGCTGTGTGACGTCATTTCATCATATCACGGGGTGACTTGTGAATTAGCAGGTGCGATACTAAGTCCTTCAATACTTCCTTTGAACTGTAAGTGTGAGAGCTGCAAGGCCGTGATATTTTTAGATGCTTTGTCTCCATTGCTATGACTCACATAACATGAGACAAAGCATTAATGGCTTATAAAAGTATCACGGCCCCAGCTCTCGCACTTACAGAAAGAAAGTTTTTGGGATATCAAATTCCTGTCGATTAATCCGTAAATGGTCCTATAAGAAGACACATTCAAATAAGACATAACATTTATTGTGCGATTTAATATTTCTACCTTTAAGTAAGAATGACCATAATTTTCTAGAAGATATTGCGCAAGATAAATATCCGACTGAAATGTTATTTTTCCTCAATGAGTAGCACCTAGAAATAGGACAAGGGATACAACAGTTTTACCAGATCAATTTCAATGTCAACATCGTTATCAGTCTCACATTATTTGCTACAACTCAACAACTGTTATAAGTATTAGGTCGCTTCTAAGAAGGTCGTGTCAAGTCTTTATTCTAACATTCTTACAGTCGCGAAGTATTTAACATCTATCTCCAAAAATGTTTCTGTCGATCTACTGAAAGCTACATCGGCCGACAGAGTTATCCAAGTCCTTCTATCCTTAGATATACTTCTAATATATCGCACTTGCACGTGCTATATATATAGCACTTCTAATAATATAAGTGCTAATGAGTCACCTAAGATGTTCCTTGCATATACAGCGAAGGTCTCTTGAGATACAGCTCAGTGTCAGTCGTATAAGATTAAGTAAATTAGTTTTTTATTTTAAATAGTACTATAGGATTAGTACTAAAGGTGTCAGGACGTAGATAGTCAGGATAATGGGGTTCCATGTGTGTATTATATATTTACAATTTACTCGAATATGTCAAACCCGAATTTGTCCGCATGGTTATCAGTAAACTGCCCCACCCTGTTGGCGCCCCCACCCCCTCCAGTTAAGTACAGCAACATGCGGTCCATCAGAAAAAACAGACCCCATTCTACCACCGCTAGATATATTCTCAATGCATGATACAACAACTTCTGCAGAAAGAACTTCTTTCTGCAGAAGTGAGATCATCTCTCTCTCTCTCTCTCTCTCTCTCTCTCTCTCTCTCTCTCTCTCTCTCTCTCTCTCTCTCTCTCTCTCTCTCTCTCTCTCTCTCTCTCTCTCTCTCTCTCTCTCTCTCTCTCTCTCTCCCTCTCTCTCTCTCTCTCTCTCTCTCTCTCTCTCTCTCTCTCTCTCTCTCTCTCTCTCTCTCTCTCTCTCTCTCTCTCTCTCTCTCTCTCTCTCTCTCTCTCTCTCTCTCTCTCTCTCTCTCTCTCTCTCTCTCTGCTAAAATGTCGGGAATAATACATTTTAGTTGGTACTAAGAAGGTAATAAAGCCATTGTTCCCGTAAAATGATCCAATTCAACTCGTTGGGGGACTCTTCGGTAGTAAAAGCAACCGAGTTTTGGAACCTGTTTCCTAGGGAAGTAGACAAAAAAAATGCCTTAGAAATTAAGGACATATATGTAAAACCCCGATTTACCGAGTTAGGGGTTAAACTTAATCGGGGTGCGGTAAATCAGAATTTTACTGTACTTGGTGTCAGTACTGGAGTGATTTTATGATACAGATCACCATTTGACGTGATTATGAACGAAAACCGTCTCATTTAAGTAATAACATAAAAAGTCGTAACTGGATTATGATGTTCATTTAAACAACATCGTGGTAGCCGTAACCACGTGCGTCAATACATTAACTGAGCATCCGTGAAGCTGGCGATTTATTTAAATTGTCAAAGTTTGTGGTTTTCACTTTTTATTTGTGGGGCACTAAAACAAATTTATTTCTTTACTACAAACGAAAAAATAAAATCAGCAAATTAAAAATACCCAGGATTGAAATTTCCAGCAAACCATGACAACCCGCTGGAGTGAAATTTGAAGTCTTAAACAAATAGGTAGACGTGCAATCAGCTTAAAACGGCCATCAAGCTTTTCAAGTTTTTACGACAATCTAGATCATAAACTCTCTAGTAGGTTGCCATGGTAGATAAAAAGCGAGAAGAGAGAGCAAAACGCAATTAAAATTAATATAATCAATCAATTACCTTACGAGACATGTTTTAAAAGTACAAAAGTTGGTGGTTTTCCGAAAAAAACGCCATATTTTCGGACTACCAAAATTAAGATCACCATAATTTTTTTCCCCAAATTATTTTTCACGTATTTTCTTGTATTATGACTTTGTCGATTTACTATCAATATAGTAAGTTATCAATATGATTTATCTAACAAATGAACACTAATATTACACCTGGGACTACACTGGAGATAGAAACGTCCTTGAACCAGAAGATCAAGAAGATCAACAAGAAATTGACTAATTTTTTCCATTTCATATTTTATTTTATTAATTTTCTCAAATATTGGGAATTATTTTTGTAAAATAAAGAAATGAAAAAAATCCCCAAATACCATAATTTAATTTGGGGTACGAACTGAGTTGGTTTTTGGAAAAAAATTTCATATTTTCGTTCCCAAATCATTTAAGTCACCGGAATTTCGTCGAGTATAAATATGTCTCGTAAGGTGTTTAAATAGTTAAATGATCAAATTAATCAAATTAATTAAATTAATTGTTAAGGTTGACATACTCTTTGTTGCAAAGGTAGTAAGTAAGTTTCCTTTGAAACATGAATAATATAATAAATATGGCATAATTTATGTTCGCTTTTTTTAGTTTTTTGGTAAGTCAAATGTGATAAAAATATAATTAGAAGAATGAAATTTTATAACAAATAAAATAAACAGGATATCAAATCAGCTAGCCTTTCAAACAGTTCTTATTATGATCCATATCATTTATTAAAACAATTCCAACTTTTTATTCATTCTGAAGGTAATATTTCTGCTACACAAAGACTACACTACAGTTCAGAATTATTTTTATTTCAAATGTTATTAACTGCGCTCATAACCTAAGTAAGATTAATTTCAAGATGCTCATTTTTAAACCTAAGTATGTACAATTCATCCGATTCCTCGCACGTCGAAACAAGCGTATTTTGAGAGATATGTTCTGCTAATTTTGAAATGATTTCCGAGTCAAAGAGTTTTATACTGTTATAAAGTGCTTTTGATATGTCTTGCCAAGTTCCTGTCACCTAGTTCCTAAGTTTCTGTCACTTAGTTCCTAAGTTCCTGTCACCTAGTTCCTAAGTTCCTGTCACCTAGTTCCTAAGTTCCTGTCACCTAGTTCCTAAGTTTCTGTCACTTAGTTCCTAAGTGTCTGTCACTTAGTTCCTAAGTTCCTGTCACCGAGTTCCTGTGACAATAAGCTGGGAAGGAGGATCTTATTGATCTATCTTCTTCTCCAGATCACCTTCTTGGTCACCGTTTTCAGGATTTCTGCACCTTTGGATCACTCTGAAAATTGTGCTTTTAGTATCATTTTGAGAGTAATCAGTAAAGTGACAAAATTCTAAAATTCCAAAAAGTTTAAAATTCTTACTATATTTTTTCTTACTATACCATCGACTGTTTTTCACCACAAAATTATCGATTAAGATAAATAATTTTGCTAATAAAGTCCATCATGGCCGGGTGCATGGTTATATAACAAAGTTAACAAAACTATAATTCCAATGTTGAAGAATTAGTAAACGAGCTAGCCGTTTTCAAGCTCTTTAAAAAAGGAAATAAGCAGGTTCTCATCCCAAGCTACTCACACTTGTACGATACTGCAGATAATGAGTAGCACTCCCACACCCAAGAAGGCCAGCATGATGCCGATCACGGCATATGGTAGGATCACTTCCATCTGCATACTGGACCTTCTTGCTACAAACTAGGATAATCATTAATCAACTTGACGATAGTTTGGGACGCGACTTTATTGTAGGCAGTTGCAGTTATACAGACACATTTATTCCCTGGATCGTTTAATTTTATGTAGATGAACGTGAACTATCCATTGAAAGAAAAATAGTAGATGTAAACAGATGTAAAACACGTGATCGGTATTTGCACAATCGCAAAACAGTACAAAGCTTAATTTCGCGTCAACCATTCGTTATAACAAAAATGTTATCGGATGGCCGAGGAATCCTGAAAAACGTAGTGAACTATACTGGAAATAATGTAAATATGTACCACTAAGAGACAGATTAAAATGGAAGCAAAATATTTTCAAAACATGTATTCAAATCAGATATTTATGAGGTGCCGTGTAGTACGTGGCTGCATAAAGGACAGTGCTGTGTGTGGCTTCATAATATCGTGCAGATCAGAATGAATGAGAATGAAAAAGATAGTCGGTCACCTTGGCCAGCGCTGATTGGTCAATTCTTTCACCAACTTTTTACCAAATAAGAGATAATTCGCCGTTCTCAGCTATAATCCGTTGTTATGCAGATTGCATTGATCACCCGTATTATTTACCTTTGAGCGATCTAACAATCGATGTAAGAATAACATATTTTTGAAAATGTTAAAAAATTTGAATAGGATGAGGGGATATCTAAGGTTTGCTTTTTTTTACTACTTGAATGTGATCTCAGTTAAGAGAGTGACTAAAATTACTATAAAACAAATAATTTGAGCCCGAAAATGGCGTTGACGCCGAAAATTTGCCTACATTCCTAACTTCCTGTTTCATTTGTCCTTGTCTCTTCCAACTGGATATTATCCAACTATCAGTAATTCAATCATGAGACTAATAAACAGCGGACTACTCCATCATTTGACTAAAATAAAAGTACTGATCTGAATATTTACTTCACATATTGCGTAAGCCATATTTATTATCAGCATTATGTAAGCACTAGTGTAACTCGTGCCTACGGCCGGGACACCACTATCGCAGTTGAAATACAAAAGTATAAACCCGCCTATTATATTTGAAAACACGCATAACATTGTCGTATGAAAGTATGAACTCCCTCTACAGTCCAAACAGACCGCAATGAGTGCCTAATAAGCTTATAGTATTACATGACAGTGAATATCGAGGCTAAATTAATTATGATTTATATACCAATGCTGCCTATGCAGTAATGGGAGAGGGAGGGAGGAGGGAGAAAAAGTGATCCATTTTCTGTCACATTTGTGGTAAAAACCATCAATTAAACCACTTACCACCGACCGATTTAAAAAACCTTTATCATTTGGCTTCGTCAGAGCGAACGAACAGACAAACATACATCTTGAGATTATTAGTATATATTACGCTCAGGCCTAAATCCAGATTCAATCCCTAAAATCACACGAGCATTTCATTCCATGCCAATTGCAACTCATCGATCCCCTGAGCACTCCATAAGAAACGCAACTGAAGCAAGCACCACAATTGTACGAGATCCACAACCATGATGGGAGATCTAATAGATCATTATATAACTCTTGTGATAGAGGTACTCTATTTCCGTACCTCGTTATTATCCCTTCCCAGTACAGCAGAACTTGTTGTGAAAGTCCCTTCAGTCGACTATATTTCTCACTATATCCAACGCTCGAAACTTTGGCACCAAAAAACTAGCAATTACAAAGGAATGACACTGATAACTCTAAATTTAGGGGCTATCTAAATTCAGGGGTAATGAAGCTTGCCTCCTCACAAAGAGTAAGACTTCTATAAAGAAAGGGGTCAGAACTTCTAGATTCCTTTCTATAACAACTACCTCATACCACATCTAATCGAGAAACTGTGAACTTAACACTCCGTATTGACAGGTAACGGAACGTACGGACGACTGGGTATAGGGAGCAATGACTCCGTTTCCATGCCGACCCTGCTCAAGTCCATCCAACACATTACTATCACTAAGATAGCAGTCCACTCAACCGGAAAACACTGTCTGGCTCTGTCTCAAGACGGCGAGGTATTTCAAAACTTAACATTTAAACTCCCTGAGTCATTGTTACTTCTCCAACAAGTTGTAAACTCCCTGAGTCATTGTTACTTCTCCAACAATTTGTAAACTCCCTGAGTCATTGTTACTTCTCCAACAAGTTGTATTAATATCGATAGTATTAGTAGTTCTGTGCGTTTTCCCCCGAAGGGCCCTGTTAATGTTCCTTTCCAGGTTTTCAGCTGGGGTGAAGGGGACGACGGGAAACTTGGACACGGTTCACGCAACAACCAGGACCGACCACGAGTCATCGAGGCTCTCAGGGGAAAACAGGTGAATTTTAACACGGTGTATACTGCATAGTAACACATGAAACTCAGGAGTTACGGCAATTGAAAGTCTCACAACTGAGTGTTATCATTAGTTGTACAACTCTTTTGTTTTTCTTAGATGAGCAGTCAGCTTATTGCTGAACGTGACTCTAAAATGTGACCTAATGCTCAGATAACATTTCCCCAGGTAATAGAAGTGTCAGCTGGCGGTGCCCACAGTGCAGCAATAACGACACTTGGTCGCTTGTACACGTGGGGCAAGGGTCGCTACGGCAGACTAGGTCACGGAGATTACGACGATCAGCTGAAACCCAAGATGGTGGAAGCACTCAAGACTTACAAAGTCACGCAGGTCAGCCTCTCATATTGATTTGGGACAGAATTTCGCTCCTTCATCTGGCCTTTAGCCGAATACACAAAAACGTTCTCACTTGAGAATTGCTGGTGACAAGTTCAATTTTATTCATATATTCGGATTTGTACTCTATTACATGTACTCAAACATGTACTCTAACATGTACTCTAGTGATAGGGAATAATAATAATAATTCCTGCCTGTAGGTTGCATGTGGAAGTGGGGACGCTCAGACCCTCTGTATCTCAGAGGGTGACGTTGTGTGGTCCTGGGGGGACGGGGACTACGGCAAGTTGGGTCGTGGCGGCAGTGACGGCTGCAAGGTACCCAGAAAGATAGATCCACTGCTCAAGTGTCAAATAGTAAAGGTGAATATTTCTTTTTGTTATTTCATTGGAATGCAGAAACGTAATATTTTAAGTGGATGTCAAGTGTACCAAGTTGTCATGAACATTCTAATCAAGGATCGCGCTACTGTTGCTGTTACCTCAAACACTATCTTATCTCAAATAAACAAGTTAAGGTTGCTTTCTTTACAGATTGTGTGCGGAAGTCAGTTCTCTATGGCTCTGGGCAGGAACGGTGATCTTTACACCTGGGGAAAAGGAGACTATCACAGACTAGGTTAGTTCCTGTTGGACTCATGCAGTTTGAGAGATTCCATTATATGACTTATTTTGGGCGTCCTTTGTTAACTTTATAGTCCTTATCGGTAGCAAATCAAAGACTGTCAGAAGTGTGAAGGATTTTCATTAAAGAGGATGATACACAATTAGAAATATATTATGCGTTGGGGCAAGTAGCTGTATGGAAAGCACTCAAGCAGTTGTTATCAACGGAGTAAGAATACGGAATGGGGGTCTCCTTGTAAACATGTCCCTGTCGAGAACTAAATTTATATACTGACTCTACGACTGACGCAAGGTGTTTTACTTATATTATTCATTATACCTTATTAACGAACGCTCCGTGCAACTTCTCCCGACTTGCGTAATCCTCTTTGAATTGAAAACCATGAGATTTTGTCTGTTCTTAATTTATTTTGGCCCGGTTATTTCTTAGAAAATGGGTCGGTTCTAGAATTAGGTTGTAATTGATCATTGTAAGTCCCTTATATAACATAGAGCATTGAAATAAAACAGATGAAAATATAATTTTGTAAATGATAGTGCTCTAAAACAGTTATTTAAAATAAGAAGGTCTAAACTAAGTATACCTCTCTGAACAAAATAACCTTTTCTACTTTCTAAACAAATTATCCTCCTTTAAAACAGTTTTCCTTCTCAGGGCACAGTAGTGAGGATCACGTGAGATGGCCACAACGTGTGGTTGGTCTAAACGGTCAGAAAGTGGTTGAGATCAGTTGCGGCAGTTTGTTCTGTGTGTGCGTTACCGATGACCATCAGGTTTGTTCCCCCTCATTTGTTTCAATGAAATATTTATTTAAAACTTATTTCGACGATTTTAACAAGAGTTTTTCCAGAAAGTACCGATAGTTTGTATTATAACTAAGATCTTAATTAATAATATTTGGGTATTAACCAAGGTAAAATGTGTCAGGTGTACGCATGGGGTGATAATGACGAAGGTCAGTGTGGTAACGGAAAAACAAACGCTGTTCCCACACCCCAGCTAATAGACTCATTGCAGGTTTGATTTGTTTGTTGTTCTCTGCTTACAGACTTGAAATTGCCAGTTGCCACAAATTTTTTGATATCTTTCAACCTGATGAGTATATAGTGTATCAGTTTATAGCCTGCAAAATGACAGCTTAATAAGCGCGAGAAAGATCCTCCCTCAAATTCAAAAAAGCGAAAGCCAAAGTATACCAAAATAATAACTAATAATCGACATTTTGTTCTGATTAATGGTGGGCTGATTGACAGGGATCGGATGCTCCTTTGACGAACAATTATTGCTTGATTATTCGAATATAAGTGATATTTAACATAACGATCAACATATAAACTGCCTGGGTGTCCCTAGCAATCTGTCGTGAGACATTTACAAAAAATTGGATATCACGTGATATGATAATCTAATTATGTTTCATATATTAGCACATCACTGTCTTAATGCTTGACTAAAACTCATAAATCAACTCAGAAAATCTCAAACCTGTCAGCGAGAAAATCTCGGCCACCAATTCCTCGTAATTAGTTGTAGCGAGCGGAAGATATTAAATCTGACGCAATCACGTGATCAAAGATTTAAATTCTTAAACTGAAGAGGAAGAGCTTCCTCCAGCTATTTGGATAATGACGGAGCAATAATTTAAAATTAGGCCAACATTAATTTATTGCCCTTCGGGGATGAATTCTGCCCTTCGGGGATGAATATTTAACTTATTCCAATTATATATTACTTTTGAATAAACATTGGCTGGTACTACGGACCAGTCCCCCAATCAACAGACCTGGTTGAGGCGAAGAAGCGTCATGTCGCCAGCTTTATTCTATTGTTGTAAAATAACCTTAGATTTGCTTTTGGATTTCGATTAGCTTGAATGGAGTCAGGCAGGCTAAGATGATTTTACAGCTGTACAGATAGTATAATCAAGGTACATATACATTATACAATAATGTCGAGGTCATAATGTGATATCTAATGTATATTTTCTTAATTGCCATATAAAATATCTATCAAGTTTTTAAACTCCCTTATAATTACAGGGTAAACGTATCAACAGAATAGCCTGCGGAAGTGCCCACGCTATAGCTTGGAGCACGTTAGAACAAAGTGCTTCCACCAAACAACCGGACAACATCCCCCCAGAATACCCTCTCTTACTGGATACTCCTATCGAGAACCTCAGAAACAGACTTATCCTCCTCCATTCCTTCTCTGAGGTTTATTGGTGGCATTTTACACATGGCTGCAGTTCTTGGTGTCATTTTTCTGCCCTGTTAAATTATTAACTGTTTTATGTAGACTGATGCAATACAATGTATACAACTGCTTTCACGTACACCAATATATAGAAGCATAACCACATCCTCCCCAGATATTCTCATGTGCGCTGAGGATGTTCAGTTTAGAGGCCACCTCACAAGGTCACAAGGTCACGTGCTCTCTCCGACACACCCTGGTTATGTCCCACAAGGAAACGGCCTTCAAGAAAGTTGTCCAGGCTACCATGATACGAGACCGCCAGCATGGACCCATACTGGAGCTCAACAGAATGTTCAGCAGCCAGGTTAGTTACTACTATTATTATTAATTATTGTTATTGACGCTATTTTCTTTGCCAGATAATAGTTAGAGCTATAAAGTATAAATAGATATAGAAATAATAATGAATATAGTTTCTGTTTAGTAAGATATTATAGTCTAAATGCCTTTGCCATTTTAAACAATCAATGATACAATTTTGGGTGTATCTGCGGTTGAAAGGCAAAATTTCTAGAACAACAAAAATTATGATATCTCACGGACAAGCCAATAATTAGCTAAAAATTCTGAAACGCTTATTCAACGAAAGAACCCGAAATATTAGATCTCTCTGATTTGAAAATATTTCTGCTTGCTCTCTCTTTATCTGATTGCATGATAATCATAAATCATATTATAATACTCTCTTTTGTCCATTCTAGAAATCAAGAGCATTGTTTGATACTATTGACTAACGTATGCTTTATTTTAAGAAAATCGATGCTGTATTCTAAAATATTAAATGGGTTCAAGAACTCCAAAGCTGGTAAAACCGAGAGGGTTGAGGCATTATTTGAGACGCTAATGAAAGAAGTTTAACTCGTTAAGCGTATTAGCTCCCACGAAAAGCAACAAGAAAATGTAGCAACTACTTACCCAATATCCAGAAAAAGAAATCATGCTCTCCAATTCTAACTTAATAATATGTACCCACGTGATCCCCATATAAGGAGTTGTAGTATAACTCTGATTCGTGTTCAGGCTCGTGGTACTAAAGATTGGAGCAGGACTATATTCGCTCAAGCGTGTTCCATGCTGATCAACGTGTCTTCTGAATCGTTCCTGCTGCCACACCGAGCTTGGAAGGTAAGAACTTTGCGGTGTCCTTTAAATAGTGCATCACCGTTATAGTTTAAGTCTACATTTTTCGTTTCATCGACTTTATAAGGGATCGTTCTCATGTTACGTAGGGATGGGGATGTAGTCTAAAATGGCCAAAATTTGGCATACGAAATATAACTGTCCTTGTCTAGGGCTGTAAAACTATGTAGGGGGGAGCCAAGTGGATATTTGTAGATATTTGGATAATGTCATCCACTTTTTTCGTGAATTATCCATTACAATAATCTACAAATATCTACATTTATCTACAAAAAATGTATATCTCAAATATGTGCCCAGAAATTCTACTGAATTTTTGGAGATAAATGTATAAATTTGTAGAATGTCATCCACTTTTTTCGTGGATTATCCATTCTACATTAATATACAAATATCTACAAATATCCACTTGGCTCCCCCCCCCCCCTATGTAAAAACTGTAAAACCATATCCAGGTGCGGTTTGTGGGGGAGAGCGTAGACGATGTTGGGGGCGGATACTCTGAGTCTATAGCGGAGATGTGCGAGGAGCTGCAGTCGGGGGTTCTACCCCTCTTTATATTGACCCCCAACGGCAGGGTCGACAATGGGGTTAACAGGGATTGTTACTTGTTTAATCCTGCTGCTACTAGCCCTGAGGAGACAAACATGTTCAGATTCCTAGGTAAATTCTACATTTCCATTAGCTTATCAATTCTCTTGGACTATCTAGATGAAAATAATACTGGCTATGTACCTTATGTTTCCAGTGAAAGTGTGTCCACATTAGTAAGTTAGTAAAACTCAGGACAGGTATGCTAAATATTTGTGTTTAGATTGTGATCAATTAAAAACTTGCCTTATCCGCAGGAATATTGATGGGAATATCAGTAAGAACTGGGTCTCCTCTAGCTCTGGACATTGCGCCCCCTATGTGGAAGCTACTAGTTGGGCTCCCTCTCTCAATTGATGATATGATTGAAATAGACAAGGACTATATGGCTGGTACGAAACAATCGCTTCTATTATTCAGTCCACTTTTTTCTAAAGAATATCAATTCTTTAGAATTCCAATGTTCTTTTGATGAGCACCGTCTGCTTTGAAAGAAAATTGCAGTGCTTCGAATCGAGTTGCGTGCTTTTTGAAACCAACCCGCAATATATAAAAATGACCCCATGTAACATATATCTGAGAATTTCTCTCTCGCAGGCATAAATTTCTTCCGAGATCTACCGAACAAAGAAGAGGAGTTTGACGCAATAGACATGCCATTTAGCACACCAGGGGCAGCGGGACAGGAGGTCCCACTCAGCTCCACCTACCACCGTATTAACCTGACTAACAGGGATCAGTATGTGCAAAGCGCTCTTGATTACCGGCTGCATGAGTTCGACTTCCAGGTCAGTATCTGGATTAGGGAGGGGGCCGGGGGGTTTCATTGTAACTAGCCGATATTTTTAGTTTTTACCTGCGATATTTGTACCTGCAATCAGTTATCAGAGGTGCTATTTACAAGCGTTGGATACGGTGTTGTTTAACTTGCCGTATACTTTCTGTATTTAACGGGTAATTTTGCAAGAATAGTAAAGATAAGGGATTTTTTATCCCCACCTGAATAGAACCTCTGCCTGCAAATGAAACAATCTATTTTTGTATTTATCTAATTATTTAGTTTGGGGCTAGTAACAACAATTACAAAAGGTCCCGTTAACTTGTTTAGCGACGACTGTAAGGTAATAATAATCTGTCCCAATTCAGGTGCAAGCAGTGGTGGAAGGTTTAGCTAAAGTCATACCGGTCCCCCTGTTATCACTGTTTACTGGGGAGGAGCTGAGAACTATGGTATGTGGGCATCCTGACATACCACTAGACATGCTGAAGTCTGTTGCTGTTTACAAAGGTAAAATATTGTTAATGTTACTGTGTGACAGATCTCTTGTTTTCCTTCAAATTATTGAGGGGAAGGAAAGGAGTCGACGACTACCCGACCACTTGTCGAAACTCATTTAAATTAGACCGAACACTTCAGTAACATTAGGATTTCCTACACCATTCTTTACTCAGGCGTGGAATACAATTCACCGCTCGTCCAGTGGTTCTGGGAGATTCTGGAAATATTCTCACCCAGCGAGAGATCACTCTTCTTGCGTTTCGTTTGGGGTAGAACTCGATTACCTCGGAACATAGCTGACTTCAGGGGTCGTGATTTCGTTCTGCAGGTACATTAACACTTCACAGTTTGTCTGGAATTAAGCTGCAATGGTTTCAGTCATTTTGTTGACTTCGCTTTTCGCACATCTTAACCTTAAGCTTTCTCTGACGACGTGATTTAAATTACTGAATGATCCTCCCTTAGGTTCTGGACAAATACCAACCACCTGATCACTACATGCCGGAGAGTTACACTTGCTTCTTCCTCCTGAAGATGCCTCGCTACTCTTCAAAAGAGGTTCATTTCTATCACTGAAACTTTACAGGATTGATCTCACTTTTCTTCTTCTTTTTTCACTCAAGTTAAAAATTCTGACCGTATCATTATAACTTGAGATGGTGCAATATTGAATCAATTTTCTATACTGTCAGACTTTTCACTGTTAATTTTTCCCATGATAACTTCTACCTGCCACAACATTGGCTGTTAACGACTTTTTAATGATACGCACTAGGTTTTTGGTAAATTGATCAATGGTCCAATCTTGTGCATGATTATACCAATTTTGGCGCCTAAATTTGTCGCAGAAAGTATTCAATCTATTTTAAAGACTTTTATTTCACGTTGGTAACATTCCTCTCCCAGATTCTAACAGAAAAGCTCCGATACGCCATCAACTTCTGCAAATCAATAGACACAGATGACTACGCCCGTATCACACGTGACGAGGGTATAGGCGATGGGGAGGACAGTGATATCGAACTGGGATCTCAGTAAATGATAATTGTATATTTTGTATTATGTTAAGACGAAGTGCAGTATTATGCAGCATGTGTAAGTAAGTATTTGAGTATTTTCAAGGTGACACTCACAGTCTCGTACACTTGCGGGTACTGTATTACATGTAATATCCAAGTTTTCGCTTTTTTCTAATTCAAATTATCTTTCCACGAATTTATTACTTGTTTGATTGAAACTGAGTTACGTTTTAACTTTCAATTCAATCCTTTCAATTTGTTGATTCTCATCTTCTGTAAATTAAGTTTCTACACATTCGAACTCGAAATAATATTTAAAACATGTGATAAATGTTCTATATAATAATCGGACTTATTTGTTCATACCGCCTTGTACTTTGTTATAATATCGATAATCGTATTACGTCTCCGATTTATCAAATTCTATAGAAATAGAATTTATTCACATCTGCTGTTGAACGAATTTTATAAAACTTGTTGTTTTACTTGTTTAGCTTGCCTATGTCCAATGTTTGGTTTGTCACATAAAATGACTCAGCTTTCTGGTCTATGGGCCGCTTCTCTCACGTATTTGATTAACGAAGTCAATCCTTCATAGCTCGTCTCGGCCCAGTAGTGCATCTACGACTTACGTATAATATACAGTATACGTGTGGTAGAAGTGAAACTAATGTTGAATGTAAAATGTGCGTAAACTTAAAGGGCATTAAGCACCAGGACCGTACAAATACAACGTATGAAATAATAGCTTAATGCCCCATAAGCTGTAAGCAAAGCCACGAGTTAGAATGGATTGAAATTTGCAATTTTTTAAATGATGGTGTGGATTTGTGGAACCCTTCACGCGTACTGCGTGACGCGCTTGTTTCACAAGTAGAATAAGCGCGTCGCCTTGGTGGTCGCGCGCTACTCCAAGCGAGAGGGCTCTGGTTAGAGCAAGTGGAACCCTTCTGCAGGCGTGCCTGTCCCTATGTGCGGCGCTTTTCGAGATTCTGCTGCATACGTGAGAGTCCAGGAGCACTGAGCAGCAGGAGGAAATGTATGTAAAGTATTAATTGGGGGATCAATGATCAATGATATGGCAGTGGTAAATCGGGATTTCATGTGCAGTGAGTCCTGATCTTCTTCGAGCTATAAAAGCTATAATAAAACAAATATTTAATAAAACAAATATTTATTTTTACGGCACAATCAAACAATATCAATAATAAATAAATCAGGGGAGGTTTGAAGAGGTTTCAAGTGCCGAAGGCCACTGCTTATCTTTAGGATTTGAGAGTGACCTGTGCTTGAAACCCCCTCAACCATCCACTACGTCAATATACTAATTACAGTATACAAATATAGAAAAATATAATAATCTTAAATTACTTATTGGTTTAGTTTGGTGACAAAGGAGAGCCCAGTTGAGTTTTAGTTTAGCTTTAGGTTTTGAATCACAGTTTAAAAGGTTAGCCATGTTTCATGGCAGAGAGAGATATCATGTGTGCAGAGCCGTACCGGATGTAGAGTTTGAGATATAATATAGATTAGTTACCATGTATTAGGGTCATCTCGATTTTGGAGGGATAGCAAGTGCTTTTTAAGGTTAGATTTAATAACACCTGACGAAGCTGATAAGTCTGAATTCTTGGAAGAACCCGGGATTATCAACCCATCTACATTAGCATCACATATTTCGAATACATAGGGGCTGAGGTCATTCCAAATTTTCGTAGAGGTGTACAAAAAGTTTTGTTGGGAGATATCTAACCTCAGTAATGGGACAATCAGACGAAGTTTTTCATTTCTAGGACAGAACTTGAAAAGATCTTTAATCGACTGGGGGACATCAAATTTAAGAATTTTGAATAATTCCATAAATGTATGGTACATGTGCAGATTCTCCAGGTTCATAATTTTCTGCTCGGTGAATAGCGGTTTAGTGTGTTCAAGACAGTAGTTCTTGCTAGCCATATGTTCGTTATAAGTTCTTGAACGTGCACAGGTTAAATAGTATTCTTTATGATCAAAATTGGGAATGTTACCAAATAGCAGTCTTATACATCGTTTTTGAATTGCAAAGATTTTATATAGCTAGCTAAATTGTAGATAGCTAGTAGGTTATGTAACTAGGTAGTGCGCCATCGACAGTGAGCCGCGCGTGCCGACTGTAGGATGGTTTTTTAGCGCTAATTTCGGCCAGCACAATTTTCTTCAAACAAATAGATATTGAGTATCCTTCACGACCTCCAATTGCAACAAAAATTGGTAAGCTTACTCATAGACTTACGCAAGGAAAGTGTCCGAAAATTTAAAGCATATCCAACCTTACTGGGCCGCGCTCAGCCTGTCATTCCGCCTAATCTCTATTATGAACATAATAGCCTGAAGTCCCCAGGTAAATCCAACCATCAGACATTATATTACAGCTAAAAGCAACGTATTTTGCCCCATTTTGATCACTATATCAACTCTGATATCCACCAAATTTTTTGGACAGTTGTGAAAGCCCTATTGGAAGGTCGTCGCCAATTTTCAGAATGATCTCATTCAAGGAACCGAAGATATATCCGAATAATACGACAAAAATCAACGAATTTGGTCAAATTACTTTTAGGTTTACAACCTACCAGGACGCGCGCCGAAATGGACTCGTCGGCAGTCCAATATATGGAACAAATATTTTACGAGTATCACCCTGCACCCGTTAATCAAATTACGCGACTTTTACAGCTACTTTTGCTCCAAAAGCTGCGCACCATCAAATATGGCATCTAGGCAAAACTCACTGATCTTTCAAAAAGTTGTAGCGCGATGCGTTACTGTGCCGCGCCGCGCACTCAACGAGACTTCTCACAGCAAGATCGGCGAAATGCGCTACTGTGCCGCGCCGAGCTTCCATGAATTGACATCGTCAATTAATCCAAAAAGGTATGACAAATTTGGTATTGTAAAAATTCTCACAGTCTCTAGAAAATAGTGGTACAAAAATTTTTGAAATCCGAGCAAGTTTATTTTTATCGTGCACCCCCTAATGTAACTGCAATTGCGCGCTCGCGCTGCACTTTTCAAGCTATGTGAATATTTCACTTGCAACTTGCTCTATCCAGAGCCCTTGCGCTTGCAGTAGCGCGCGCCCGCCTCTTGACTTGTGAAACAAGCGCGCCTGCAGTGGCGCGAAAACACATGGTTAGGTGAAGTTTATAACCTACTATACCAGGACTCGTCGACGGTCCTGATATATGGAACAAATATTTTACGAGTATCACCCGTTAAGACCGTCGACGAGTCCAACTCGGCGCGTGTCTCATGGTTGGTTATAAACTTATAAGCCGCTTTCTTCCCGAAACAAGTGCTATGAAGTAGCACGCGCTGGGTCAATGGTCATATCATGGTCAGTTCATGGTCAGTTCATTAACGGACCATGGACAGTTCAGCCTACAATTAATTGTGAAAGCCCTATTGGAAGGTTTTTACCAATTTTCAAAATGATATCATTCAAAGAACCGAAGGTATGACAGAATAATACAACAAAAATCAACGAATTTCAGAATTTTGTCAAATTACTCGATTTTTACAGCTACTTTTGCTCCAAAAGCCGCACACCATCAAATTTGTCATACGTTGTATGACCCGCCGCGCACAAAGTGCGCGGCTCCCCCTGTATCGTCAGGACGATAGTGAAACGACCGTGGAGGTTGCAACGTGATACAACATCAAATATGGCACCTAGGCGAAACTCACTGATCTTTCCAAAAAGGTATGACAAATTTGGTACTGTGAAAATTCTCACATTCTCTAAAAAACAACGGTACAAAAATTTTAAAAATCCGAGCAAGTTTATTTTGATCGTGCACCCCCTATTCTTAACAAATCAAATCTGAAATGTGTTCTGATATGATTTGTGACCTGACTGTCTCAGAGACACAATCTCAGATCTATTAACAATTTACAGAGCGGTCCCATACTTCACCTAGCCATGAGTCTACGCATACTGCGTGACACGCTTGTTTCACCTCCTGTGCCGCCTTCGGCGGTCGCGCGCTACCGCAAGCGAGAGGGCTCTGGATAGAGCAAGTCCCATACCTCAAGAAGTTGTGAAGACTTGAGAAACGAAGGATCTTTTCTCTGATGGAAGTACTCTCTCTTCATACAAATCTTTTTCATGCTATGCTCACTGTAGATCTTATTTAGTGGTTTAAATGTATTGCAGTTGAGAAATACTAAAATGGACCCAACCAGGTCTAGTTATTGGCTAGGGTTAGGGTTAGGGTTAGGGTTAGGCAATCAAAGTAACCGGTGACATTTGAAGTGGGATAGATCGACATGGGCTTGCTATAGTGGCACCCATTACAGTTAGGATGTGTTTTCTTTCAAAGGGTGCATACAATCTTCCAGCTGCAACATCAAGACGGGCTTCATTTTGGGTGTAGGTCTTTCTTGAGAATGAGCTTGGTTCACAGGAGGAGCAAAGTGCAAAGAAACTGCTACTAACTGCTACTAACTGCTACAAACTGCTACAAACTGCTACAAACTGCCACTAACTGCTACTAACTGCCACTAACTGCTACTAACTGCTACTAACTGCTACTAACTGCTGCAATCGCGCCCACGCATTCGCGCGCCGTTTGCAGCAGTTTGTAGCAGTTAGTAGCAGTTTCTTTGCACTTTGCTCCTCCTGTGGGTTGGACAGTCAGGAGTGCTGGTTCTATCCTTACATCTTTAGACTTTGCTTCTTTTAAAATGCTAAGTTCAAGCTGGAGCATTAACCAATTGAGTATGTCGTCAAAGTCAGCCATCAATCTTTTAAATAAATATCCTGCGTAGTTAAAATCTCAAAGAGTATTAATGGGATATACCCAAACCTTTTCAAAAAGGCCAGAAATGCTGCACCTCTCAGAATTACGACTATTGAACATTTTTAAACGTTTACAATATATATAATACAATATATATAATAAGTTGGAACATTGTTATAGCATTATTCAAATCAGAGAGGACATATTTCAGAGTTTTATGTCTTTATATAATGATATGCAAATTGTGGTGTATTGTAATTTTGATTGTACGACAGAGACGGCTCGTGGGAGGTGGCTGGCAGTTTTGTTGGGTGTCCAATCGACGGACTGGGGAGGGGAGGGGGTGGGGGGACTTGGGGCCGGCCCAAGCTCCCACCAAACTACCGATTACATTACACACAGGGCCTCATGTATGTAATGTGTCACACTTCACAGACGACAGCAAACAAAAACAAAAACTTATAATGTGGTTGAAACAAGACACCACACGGGTACGATCTCAGCCACGCAGTATGCTAGCAGCCGATAGTTCAAATTGCAAGGAGCAAATCATATAGATTACCTGTAGTAGATGCGCTTGATGTGCTTTGTACCCGTTTACAATTAACTATGTGTTAAAACTGCGCGGCTTAGTCGTCCAAAGTCCAAACGTAGGATTGGACGACCAACAACACAAAATTTCACAAAGATCATGCGTGCGCTTTCATTCGAACGTTTGAGTGAATAAAGAGCTTTATATTACGATTAAATATTTCCAAACACTATTACCAAGCACTATTTCTATTTTTAAGCACCAGCCACCAGATGATAATTTTAGGACGCCTGGACGCCCTCAATAGCCGCCTCTGTTGTATGATGGTGGATTTTAGTAGTGGTAAAGTGAACTGTGAAAGATAATTGAATTGCCAGCCAGTATCTCGTATTTATTGTAACATGTCCCAATCGAGATTGGAGAAGCTTCAAGTAAACTGATAACTGTTGTGAAACTTTATAAAGTTCAAACTTTATAATCATCCTTAACTTTTCTCTACATCCCTCCATCAAATCTTACTCACTGACATACCTCAGGATGTGAACTCTACCAGGATGATGAGTCGAACAGCCAAGAAGTCACGTGAATACTCTTGAGAATACAATGCTTAAATTCTGTGAATTTCCCAACATAAATGGGCTTGTATCCCTGTGTACAGGAGAACTGGTGTCGGTTGTGAGTAACATCTACCTGGTGGTTCTGACATTTACTGCTATTATTCTCGTTCGAACTCAGAAGAAATGCAACAACAGAAAATGGTCCTGCCATACTCTAATCTGGGTTCGTATGTTTGCTTTGGTCATGTACTTTTTGAGCACATAATATACCTTACAAGACATTTTTGTGGCGAACCAATTTGCGACGACTGAAATTTTGGCGGTCCGAAAATATGGCGAAATTGAACAAAAACCGTCACATTTCGGACGTCACAGAAAATAAGGGTATTTTTCATCATTTTGTTTTCTGACACAAAGGAAATTCAAAATTTTCTAAAAATCGGTAAAATCATGTTGAAACAAAATGAAACTTATAAATCGATTTCTTCATCTTCCTCTAACGGGTCCGGCTCGACTCTTTCAGTTTCACTTATTGAGTTTGGTATTAAATTGTTTATCTTGACTTAGTCTCTTATAAGACGTTTATGTTAGCACATAAATGTAATTTATTGTAAATTTAAAACGTATTACTTGACATTAAATTCATCATGGAATATTGTGTTTATTTGTCCCACCATCATATCACTAACTTTTCAAGAACAAAATGAATCGATGAAGCCACAATTATTGGAATAAGCTAAAAATAATGCGACGGATTCTATTACGACGACCGAAATTTTGGCGGTCCGAAAATATAATACGAAAATAGAAGGCGGTAACCATGTGAAGGGGACAAAAATTCTGCGCCAAAAACTAAGATAACTCTGAGAATATTTAAAGCATATCAGAGCATAAGTCATATATAATCATAAACATGGCTTTTGTGAACTTTCTGCAAGTCAAGCTAGCTCCAAATTTTAAAGATAAATCTGTGTCACCTCCCCATGGTTACCATCATCTATCATAACACTAGTCAACACAACATTTCAGGTGCTAATGATACTGAATTGTATTAGTATACTACTATACTCAACAGCATGGCTAATCATCGCTAAAACAGAGGCTATTGTCGTTTACCAAGTCCTCAACATATTGGCTTTCCTGTGCTTGCCATTATCATTTAACATCTTTGAACAGAGATTCCATCCGAAGTAAGATATTTGCTTTTTTAAAAAATTTGCTTTAGTTTTCAATCCCAATTGAATTGCATGATAAAGTAACTACCATACCTCACTCTACCCTCTATAATTTGTCACAGATTCAACATAGCCCTAACTGCGTACTGTCTACTAAGTGGAATATCTAAGATGCTGATTGTTACCTCCTTCTCCCGCTCCTTGGTCACATGGTCCTGGGTTTCAGGGGTTGACGTGCGCTTTGTGTGCGCTGTCGTTCAAGCTACTGTCCTACTTTTCCTTACTTTCATCACTTTCTATAACTTCTGGGTTAGTTAACACTTTTTCTTGTAACTGTGCACTTAATTTATAAGAATATTCCATCGGATTTTAACTACTGTATATATTAACAGTTAACACTCTGCATTCCAATTTTCTTAAAAACTGTTTGTCTCCAGATGCACTTGAGGAATGATTTCTCTGAGATCCCCAGTGATGACACAACAAGGAGACCACTGCGCAGTCTCTCCAGAGCGCTCTATTTGTGGTGCTGGGAGTTATTGGTAAAAGCAAGGAGCAAAACTCTGCAACTCAGTGATTGCTTCCTCTTGCCAGATGAAGACTGTGCTGATTTCGAGGTTTGATTTTAGATGTTCTTGGTTTTAAATCTTATCACGTGTTATGAAATTCATTGCTTGTTATCAGTGCGATTACTGAAAATAAATGCCAACCAATGCTTTCATATGCGTAATTCATATGTTGCATATTGACTGTGCAACACATGAAGATATTCATAACGACAAAAACTTCACACTCTACAGAAAACAGCGTCTTCTCTATTCATGCTGGTCCTTAAAGAACACGCCAAGCAACTCCTTCTTAGTGGTATGATGTACTTGGTATCTCTGGCATTAGAGTTTGTGCCTATATACATCACCTTCTGTATTCTCAGTAACTTTGCCTCCCCAAACATCACTGATACTAACCAGGTTTGTTGTTGGATTTTAGATGTTTTTATTTCTTCATCCTGAATTGTATTCCCGGAAATTCGGGAACAAGTTTACTTAGCTTCATACTGATGATAGCAATAAAGATTGTTTACTTGTCATTGTGGAAAAATATAAAATCTCTGGACTCTGACAATAATCATAGAGGGCCTCACGGTATTTCCACAAATTGGGAATTTCGGACATACTGTAATAAACATATTTTTGACCGTACTATAATCGATTAAAAGTGGTCCGGTAATGTGATAAAATTGATTTTTACGTGTATTTTGATTGGCTGACCTTACTGTATTTACAATTTATTAAAAACCACCAATTCTAAATCATTGCAATAAAAACCTCCCCCCTACAGGCACTGTTCAGTATAAAGGATGTATCTCATAATAACTACTGTCTGATAGTCCTCCTATTTATAAGCGAGACAGTAAAGTGTGTCCTACACCAATCTCACAGCTTCATGGCTGCAGAGATGGCTGCAAAAACACAGAAATCTGTGCAGGTACGCGGTCATATCATTCTTATATCAAACTCTGTGTGTATTGTATTACATCCTCCCATTCAGTGTTATGCACAATAGACATTTGTCCAACCTATTATATATCATATACTGATATACCATGCCATATGTTTTGTTACGTTGTATCGTCTATAAGCTACTCGCTGTTTACAGGGTTTGTTGTACTCTAAGCTAGTTAGGGTAGCACAATGGGAGCTGAATGATGGTCTGGTCGATGTCGTTACTCTACAAGTAGATCACGTGACAACAGGTACGTTCCCCTCTCATATATCTCTACTGTTTTACTAACCAGGAATTTATATAACGTTTGCGAACTATCTGCAATAATGCGAGTGATTGTAATGAAAAATGGGGGTCATTACCAGAATGTTGGTTGGAAGGAGGGGGAATATTGGGTTGAGAAATGTAATCACACATCAGAAAACAATGCTTACTCCCCGAGATCCTGTTACAGGGCAATTATTGAATTAAAGATATGTTCTAATGTAGTGCTGTATAACAATCCAATGTGGTACATTCGGGAAACACACAGGGTTCACAAATATCTGGATTTAGTGAGCCGGGGGACACAGGGGCGACTGAGACTGGGGCGGCTGTGTCCTTGACATCAGACGTTTATGAGAGTTTCATAGCGCTCAACGACATTCATTCTACACACACGGCTGCAGAAAGTAGTGACTGCGTTATAATATCCCCATATTCTGTGGAAATGTAGTTCATTCACATTTCATTCTGAGATCAATATTTAATATGTACGGAATGTTTATTTGTGGTTTAAAAAATATTTCAAAGGTAATTTTTACGCTATATTAATTTGACAGATAAATAATTTCAGGTTTACAGATGATCCATAACGTTTGGAAAATTCCCCTGCAGTTTACATTATGTCTTATTTTTATGGAGATGCTCATTGGCTTAAGGTAATGAAATCAGCTTACATAAATTACATAAGTTTTCGTCAAACCTTTAACAGTTGTTCTTTACTCCGAGAAGTAAGAATTTTGTTAATCTATTTTAATTAGTTTTAAACAAAGGCACGAGTCAGTAAGGCACGAACCAGGTTATTTTCAAGCAAATTGTTTAAAATATTTTGTAATCTTTAAAAACATATTTGCCTTATTTCAGCGCGCTACTGCCAATAGTTGTGCTGATCCTCTGTTTATTATTCACCTCCTGGCTACTTCACAAGCGGTCCTTCCTGGAATCTAAACTTCAAGCCTCAAAACAGTCATGGTAGGATGACTCTACTGACACGTACAGTTTTAAAAACACGACGACTGTTTAATTTCGGTTGAAATTTATTTGAGTCATATTCTTAAAAATTTACATTTTGTCAATAATTTGTCACTAATTTGTCACACCTTTGTCACCAATTTACGTTTTGTTCAGGTACTACTTAGTCCAAGAATTTATCGAGCATATTTGGATCCTGAAGATAAGAAATATTCACACGCTCTTCAAGAAAAAGGTACTTTAGAGATTCGTCATTATTCAAGTATCAAACGTTTTCTTTACCGTTTTACATCATGATAACTAAGTTGTTTCCGCAAAGTTGCACGATTTGAAATCAATCCCTGATTTGCCTTACGCCTCCACCTCCTTAATCGAAGTTTGTCTTTATTTTGTCTTTATTTTGTCTTTATTTTGTCATGTAATGTTATGTATTTCATAGTTTTATTATTCCCAGATTCTAGAAGAGACGAGTAAGATCCCAGAGAGAAAGGTAACAGTACTGTTTGCTCTGATTCAGATTGTAAAACACGGACTACCATCTCTACTTCTCATTCTAATGTTCCTCCTATTTTACCTTGTTGACGGAGATAGACCACTCACAGTTCCAGCAGGTACTATTTAATTTGCATTTTAGCGTATTTGTTATTTTGTTAAAAAGGCTATTTAATTTGGTACAGTATTTAATTATTTAAAAGCAGAAGCTGCTTCCGGAATCCGGACACCTTATAATTGTTATTGTTGCAACATGAAGCTGTCAGATTCGGGAGAATCCTACTAAATTGAATAAAATATAAAATGTAAATCAAGCCACGAATATGTTGTTGTTTAAAGTTTATTTGACATAAATTTATACTAAAAAAGTAAACATTAGTAACATTACTAGTTTTCAATATGAAAGAGGACATTTTGTTGGGTTCAAATTGGGCCTACGAAATCAAGATTTAAGTCCAAGAATGTCTAATTTAGAGCTGATTAATGATGCGTCATATTCCTTGTAAATTGGTCATGTGAATCTCGTGACAACAGCAGACTGGCTCTCAGCCCAGCTGGTAGACGACAAGTCGTATTCTCGCATCACTGCCATGCATCCAAACCCAGCTATGATCACAATTAGCTGGAGTAGTCACTTCTTTTTTTGAAAAGAATCTGTGTTGTCCCCAAATATAGTGTTTATTGGAACCTTCCCGAGACGGTTTTCCAGACCAAGAAATTGCATAATCATTGATAAAATTGTTTATCTTTAGCGCTAAATGCATGTTAGATACATCGACACACTGTTCATTAAAGTTAATGTCACTTGGGTAAAATTTGGGATCAATAACGAGATGTATATCAAATGAATCGTCCACATTTTCAAACAGAGCTGTTGATCGTATGATCAATCCGCATTTTTCACCGTCCTGACATTTTTTAGTGTTTGGGTGTTTAAAATAGAACTTTATGTCGTTATCTTGCTGGAAGAACTCTTGTGGACTGTAGTCATCAACTGATACTATTCGGAAGTAGTTCTTGTACGATTTAAACTCGGGGATCGTTTCCATTTTCTCTATCAGGCCCTTTAGACACGAGATATTTTTACTTTTCAGATATCTTGTCAACGTATTCAGCATTTTCAGGAATAATAACTTCGCCACTTCTGAATTTTTCAAAAACCCAATAATAAACTGCATCAAACAAAATGTAGCTATTGTTTACCAATGGAAGACCCGCTAAAAAATCTACCAACTGATTGATATCAGGATAGTCTTTGATGTGTCGGAACTTCAGGAATCTGCAGTTAAGTATTCTTGCATAATTCTGGGAAATTTTAGCTAATGACTTAGAAATGTCAGATTTTTTGTAGAGCATTAACATCAATTCGTAGTCTTCTTTAGAAGGTTTTTTGATAGCCTGTAGGTTTTCAAACATACTCTCATATAATAGCTGGTGGGTTGGATAGTTGGCTGTGAAGTTCACATTTTCAAGTAAATATCGGGTGTTTCTATCCAGGGTATCACTATTTTGTTCAAAATGAAGATTCAGAACTTCCATCAAAACATGTTTCTGCTCCCCAACCATTTCAATAATCACATCAAGCTGTTTTGTAGTATGAGAGGAGAGATTTCTCAAATACTGGGGAACAAAGAACTGGTCACATTTCACTATCTCAGATGAAAACCTCTTTATAACAACCTCCACAAAGTTTCTATTCTTCAGAATTCCCCACATGAACATAGCTTCCTCGAACAGATAGTTTTGCACGCAGTTAATAAATTTATTAAAAAAAAGAAAATGAAAAAAAAGGTTTATTGATAAAAACAAAATATGGAGCACTCTGTGCTTCCAACAGCCTTTCAGACTCGCGCTAAGTTTGTTAGGGACTGATTTAGGATATCGTAGATATTGCTATGCCATGCCATTAGTTTCGATATGTAGTGTTTGTGATTGTTGAAATCAATTAATTACGGTTTGTGCTGATAGGAAAATAGTGATAGTGGGGAATGTGGCAGTGTAAATATGGACCTGGAATTTAGGATGTGTGGCTTATCCATTAATATTAGTTGCCGCTAGTCTGTGATAAGTTTGTTCTGGTTTTTTTGTGTGCAAATATATATTCATAGTTTATTTTTGTAATATCATATAATATATAGTACTTAATAATAACCATATGACTAATAACTGATTTACTAATTAACTAATTAACTAATTCACTAAACTGATATAATGACCGTTGTGTCCAGTAACTTTCAGACACGTTGTGACCTTCTTAGACCTGGAATATTATGTAATAAGAAACTGGGCCACGTGTCATCGTCATTTTCACTCTGCAGGTTCAAGAGCATGCGTTTTGTAGCCGATTTAAAAAGGTTTATGGAAAAAAGTGTGGGTAGGGTGCTTACATTTGCATTTACAGCATAAATTGAGAGTAAAGGTCCTTTGAAAAACATCGAAGATCTGAAATGTGTGGTGTTGTACTCGGCTAACCAGGATGCTGCAGTCACGTGATCTGAGTTTGCAGTGGGTGCATTTTCTGGGATAGTCATACAGATTTGTTGAGGGACTGAGCTGCGGAAATGTTTGATTCGGTGCATGAGAATTAGTGTGTTTTTTACAATAACACTGTGCACCGTGAGTATACCATTGTTATTGAAAAATTGTTTTGTGTGTTCTGGCAGTCGACCGTCTTTGTAAAAGTAATTAATGTGACCTGGCATTACTGCCCTGATACCCTGTTTTTGTCGTGAGAAGAGTGATTCAAATCTTCAAAACTATCCGTGTTCATTTCATCTACCAGATTCTCAAAGTATTCAGAACACCTCTTTACCAGCCAGGCTACCTCGAATACGTTCGACATCTTGTTTGCATCCCTAAAATTTGTTCTAGTTATCTTCTGAAGTTTCCCAGAGTAACAAGATTCTAGGAAGCACTGCACGGCATCCTTGGAGAAGTCATCAACATCAACAGAGGTCTGCATCAAGTCAGTAGTGAGAGATTCTATAACAGGACTATTGTAAGAGATAATCATAGAGTTAGCTGGAATATTTCCTCCTTCTTTTAGACGGAACTTCAGGTTACCGTGTGAAGGAGACCCCAGATACTTCACCCCAAAATCCATGGGTACTTGAACTTGTGGAACCATGATATCCTGTAAAAATGTAAGTTATGCTATAATGAATCATGCGGTCAAATTAAAACGAGAATGAGCGATATTTAACATTAAACTGAAATTCACATTATATCGTAGAAGCATCAAAACTTTGCAAAGTTAACAGGAAACAAATTACACAATATGATGTATATATAATACAATATAATACATGTATGCTAGAAACTTATTAAACACATTCGGCAACATTCGATGAATACTTACGAAAATAATTGAAATTGGGTAAAATATTTGCATTTTAAGTCTTAAATTTATGCTAATTCAGATCCCATTTTGCAAATTTAAAAAAACACACTCACTAGGCTTGACATTGTAATCACACACTATTATTTGATGATGGTATACAAACCCTGCTAATTCAAACTAATTTCTGTATGGGAAATTGCTTCTTTTCAGTTGATGTAGTAAATGACCAGTCTGATCCTAGCGTCAGTTCCGTGAAACCTAAACAGTTTAAAATCGTTTTGTTCAAAAGATCCCTCGCCTTCTTTACTAAACCGGTGATCACCCCAAGCATAATATTTATTTGAACCATCTTTACATGGTTTTCCGTACCATGTAACTGGATAATCATAGTTGCCATTGTTAATCCGAAGGTTTTGTCCAAAAACCCAAATATCTAGAATCTAGATGATCACGGATGGTATTGTGTTTGTTGATCCGAAGTGCAAGGTGCATAGTTGCCACTTTAGTGCACTGGTTATTGAAGTGAATGTCACTGGGATACGATTTGGGATCAATGACGACTTTTATATCAAAAGAATCATCAACATCTTTGAACAAACCCGTTACTCTTACGATGAAGCCACATTTTTCTCCATTCTGACATTTTTCAGTGTTTTGGTGTTTAAAGTAGAACTTTATATCATTATCTTGTTGGAAGAACTCTTGTGGACTGTAGTCATCAACTGATACTATTCGGGAGTAGTTCTTGTACGATGTAAATGCCGGAATCTTTTTGATTTCTGCAATCATGTTTGCCATCCCCGGGCACTGGCTGCCTTTTCCTACTAGATATCTTGCGACTAAGGGTTTCTAACTACGTTCTCTTATCACTCCAGCTAGTTTGTTAGTGATGGGTGTTAAATTCCCGTCGATCGAACCATTGTCACTGTAAGAATTCTGAATGGCCCAACAAAGAATTGCGTCAAAGAAAATGTAACTGTTGTCTACCAATGAAAAAGTGGCCAAAAAGTCTATCAGCGTAATCATGTCAGGACAGTCTTTTATATGGCGGAATTTGAGGAATGATCGGCAGTTTGGTATGGTGATGCATTTTGGAGTATTCTGGATGTGATCCGACAAATATTTGTCAGATTGCTTGAATAGTTCAAGTATTAATACGAAGTCTTCCTTTGATGGACTTTTTAAACCAGAAAGTGTGTAAAATAATTTCCCCTTGTATGATCCCGGGTGATCGGTAGTAAAGTTAGAATTTTGGAGTAGATACCGGGAGTTTTCACTAATGCTGTCTGAGTTTTCCTCAATATCACTTATCAGAACTTCCATCAGAACATGTTTCTGCTCCCCAACCATCTCAATAATCACATCAAGCTGTTTTGTAGTATGAGAGGAGAGATTTCTCAAATACTGGGGAACAAAGAACTGGTCACATTTCACTATCTCAGATGAAAACCTCTTTATAACAACCTCCACAAAGTTTCTATTCTTCAGAGTTCCCCACATGAACATAGCTTCCTCGAACAAATAGTGTTGATCCTCAAAACTATTTGTGTTCATTTCATCTACCAGATTCTCAAAGTATTCAAAACACCTCTTTACCAGCCAGGCTACCTCGAATACGTTCGACATCTTGTTTGCATCCCTAAAATTTGTTCTAGTTATCTTCTGAAGTTTCCCAGAGTAACAAGATTCTAGGAAGCACTGCACGGCATCCTTGGAGAAGTCATCAACATCAACAGAGGTCTGCATCAAGTCAGTAGTGAGAGATTCTATAACAGGACTATTGTAAGAGATAATCATAGAGTTAGCTGGAATATCTCCTCCTTCTTTTAGACGGAACTTCAGGTTACCATGTGAGGGAGACCCCAGGTACTTTACCCCAAAATCCATGGGTACTTGAACTTGTGGAACCATGATATCCTGTAAAAATGTAAGTTATGCTATAATATACAATGAAGCAGTCAAATTAAACGAGAATAAATGATATTTAACATTTAGCTGAAATTTATATTGCGTCGAAGCATTAATTAAAACTTTGTAGCGTTTATAGGCAAGAAAATACACATGATGGATATGTTAATCAAACAAATCTTACGCATTCGGAAAAAATGATACTGGTGAAAATATTTCCAATGAATTTTAACTTTATGTTCATTCATATCCATTTTATAAGTAACAAAATACACAAAATACACTTAATCGGCTTGGAATTGCGACCAAATAATCAAAATTTGATGTTATTCAAATTAATGAAATCCATATCCTGTTATTATATTACAAATTCATTTCTGCAAGGAACAATGTTTATCTTTAGTTGAGGCAGTAAATAATCGGTCTGATCCTAGCATCACTTCCGTGAAACCTAAACAGTTTGTAATCGCTTTTCTTAAAAGATCCCTCGCCTTCTTTACTAAACCGGTGATCACCCCAAACATGGTATTTGTTCGAACCATCTTTACATGGTTTTCCGTACCATGTAACTGGATAATCGCCAGCACCGTTGATCTCCAGTGCAAGGTGCATAGTTGCCACTTTAGTGCATTGGTTATTGAAGTGAATGTCACTGGGATACGATTTGGGATCAATGACGACTTTTATATCAAAAGAATCATCAAAATCTTTAAACAAACCCGTTACTCTTGATCTTACGATGAAGCCACATTTGTCCCCATTCTGACATTTTTCAGTGTTTGGATGTTTTAAGTAAAACTTGACATCTTTATCATGTTGGAAGAACTCTTGTGGACTGTAGTCATCAACTGATACTATTCGGGAGTAGTTCTTGTACGATGTAAAAGCGGGGATTGTTTCCATTTTCTCTATCAGGCCCTTCAGACACGAAAACGCTTTACCTTCGAGATATTTTGCTACTAGAGGTTTCCAACCGCGATTGTATATAATTACGATAAACTTTTCAACGAATTCAGCATTATCAGGAATAATACCTTTGCCACCTCTGAATTTTTGAAAAACCCAACAATAAACTGCGTCAAATAAAATGTAACTGTTGTTTACCAAAGGAAAACATTCTAAAAAATCCATAAGTTGAATGGGATCAGGAAAATGTTTTATACAACTGAACTTCAGGAAACTGCAGTTAGGTATTCTTGTGTAGCTTTGAGAACTTAGAGAGATTAAACAGTTGTCAGCTTGCTTGAAAAGTCTGAGCATCAGTTTATAATCTTCCTTAGATGGTGTTTGTATTGCCTCTAAGTTTTCAAACATCTTCTTGTATACCATTCTATGTGTTGAAGAGCAGCCACTGAAGCTCACATTTTCAAGTAAATATCGGGTGTTTCTATCCAGGGTATCAGTATATTGTTCAAAATGGAGATTCAGAACTTTCATCAGAACATGTTTCTGCTTCCCAACCATTTCAATAATCACATCAAGTTGTTTTGTAGTATGAGAGGAGAGATTTATCAAATACTGGTAAACAAAGAACATTTCACTATCTCAGATGAAAACCTCTTTATAACGACCTCCGCAAAGTTTTTGTTCTTCAGAGTTCCCCAAATGAACATAGCTTCCTCGAACAGATAGTGCTGATCTTCAAAATTCTCTGTGTCCATTTCATCTACCAGATTCTCAAAGTATTCAAAACACCTCTTTACCAGCCAGGCTACCTCGAATACGTTCGACATCTTGTTGGCATCCCTAAAATTTGTTCTAGTTATCTTCTGAAGTTTCCCAGAGTAGCAAGATTCTAGGAAGCACTGCACGGCATCCTTGGAGAATTCATCAACATCAACAGAGGTCTGCATCAAGTCAGTAGTAAGAGATTCTATAACAGGACTATTGTAAGAGATAATCATAGAGTTAGCTGGAATATTTCCTCCTTCTTTTAGACGGAACTTCAGGTTGCCATGTGAGGGAGACCCCAGGTACTTTACCCCAAAATCCATGGGTACTTGAACTTTCCATGGCATGCTATTCATAGTTCTACTAAGGTATTTTACATTTTATGTTGAATAAGGTTCTTAACATTTAAAGTGTTTGATACTTAATTAAGGTGCGGAGGACACGACAGATAGTTTGTTCGTATGGCGACGTTGGTTTAAAAGCTTGTCGGAAATACTATACAATATGACTTGTTAATTTTATATACTTTAGGGCACTATACGCTGCCCTAATATACACTATACGCTGCCCTAAACGTTTAATAATACGAATTATTAAACGTCATTATAGAGTGAAATTTCATTAACAGAAACAGGCTTGCTTGTGAGGACGAACAATACAGCGTACTAATAAAATAAGGCTACGGATCACGATGTAAAAATGAACTTTCACTAGTAAAAAAGACTAAAGAACAAACTATTAACTACCCTTTTAAACTATTCATACACTGGTACAAATCGTTATAAACTTTTATAGCCTTTTTGTGTGCCAGTCAACGAAATTTCTCGTGGTTTTGACTGCTTTTGAGCGAATGATTAGCACGTTGAAATGACTAGAAGTCTAAATTAGACACAGCAACAATTGACTGTTAAATTGAGTCGTGATAAAAAATCACAAAAAATGAAAAAAAAGTATAGAAAATATGCTAACCAACAGGGAAGTTCGTGATATTGATTTTTCAAATACCTTAATGGTTCACCGAGTTTAAAATCAGTGTACCATCATATTCAACACAGCGAGTGGGCAAACGCGCAATAATATACAACTTATGACCCTTTTTAATATTGAACCATTTTATCAGTGCGTTCTTATCTTATATTTTTAACCTGTCCAGTTTCAAATTTCACCGAACAGACGGTGCTTTTCACAGTATCACAAAACATTGCAATCGCAAAACATGTTGTCTATTTTATATTATACTAATGTTATTTGGTTGATAAGAACATCCTCATAACCTATCTTATGACCAGGTGTGGGCGCGGTACTGCTGTTGAACATGGTTAGGATCCAGCTCAGCACAGCACAGACCTTCTGTAAACAGATTCTTCTCATGGCTGAGGCGCTTGCAGACATTTCCAATACTCTCGCAAAGGACGAAATCGAACTACCGAATTCGGTAAATCCTTTTTTTTCTTGGGACTGATCTTACATTTTTCAATGTTTCTTTAATTATCTCGAGTTATTTTCGGTAATTTTATTTCCATAGCTCACAAGTTTACAATATGTCTATAATCCCACCTGTTCACTTTCCCTAGCACTTATGATATAACCAAAATACCATACTTTTACATGGTAGTTAATTGTAGTTTTGATACAAACCTGTTGATTGTTTGATTTCGCGGTAAAGTTTACATTACCCCGCCGTCTCCTCAGAATATCTACCAAGACGTAGAACTAGTGGGTGAAGCTTCGACCTCAGCTCAAGAAGAGGAAACAGTAGCTAAGATATCTAATGGTACCTTCACGTGGGGAACTGAGCGCATGTCACCTAAAGTTCTGAGTGATGTTAACATTAAGATACCTAAAGGGAAGCTTACTATCATCGTCGGTAAGTGACCGTTCTTTTTACTATTTCAAACGTTAATTTGTGAATAAAATGTTTAAAACACTATAAAATATCTGGATTATAATATTTCTTAGTTGAGATTTACAACTGCAACACTATTACCCCGTTACACTATTACCCCGTAACACTGTCACACTGTTACACTGTTACACTATTACCCCGTAACACTGTTACCCTGTTACACTGTTTCACTGTTACATTGCCACACTGTCACACTGTTACACTGCCACACTGTAACACTGTTACATTGCCACACTGTTACACTGTGACACTGCCACACTGTTACACTGTTACACTGTTACACTGTTACACTGTTACACTGTTACACTGTTACACTGTTACACTGTTACACTGTTACACTGTCACACTGTTACACTGTTACACTGTTACACTGTTACACTATTACAGGTAGACCGGGTTCAGGGAAGACGTCCCTACTCTCAGCACTTCTCTGTGAGATGCACAACATGGTGGGGGAGGTTATCTGGGCCCCCGATACAAAAGTAGCAGTAGCTGCTCAGCAACCCGTCATATTCGGTAATAAGCCTACTTTTTAGTGTAGTTTACTGATATCTCTTAGTGTAGTGCTGTTTCTCAGTTGGTAACATACGGGTCAAATTGTCGTATAATATAAGCCTTCAAGGTCAACATTTACGATCCTCATTTTAATGCGACCTTTAAATTTTTGAGTTTTATAAGTATATTCCGTCAGGTGGAACAGTAAAAGAGAACGTGTTATTTGGAAAGGTGTACGATGTGGAACGTTACCTGAAGATAATCACTCTCTGTAACCTCAAGGAACACACTCTCAATGTAATGATGTAGTCATGTAGTGCCACTCTAACTGTTATATTTTGTAACTGTAACTGTTACTGTTACTGTTACTGTTACTGTTACTGTTACTGTTACTGTTACTGTTACTGTTACTGTTACTGTTACTGTTACTGTTACTGTTACTGTTACTGTTACTGTTACTGTTACTGTTACTGTTACTGTTACTGTTACTGTTACTGTTACTGTTACTGTTACTGTTACTGTTACTGTTACTGTTACTGTTACTCGTATATTTTATATCTGCAAATGCTTTATTTCACAACTTGTGGTTTACTAGTGGTGCTATTAATCTATTAACTAATATCTTCTGTTCCTCACAAAGTTTTCATATCAGTATATTTTAGGTAGTCACACTGTCTATTTATGATAAATTCCAGAACACTCGCCTACGATACTGAAACTGTAAACTATACATTTCACCTCCTCCCGAGAAAGTGACCATTAACCATAGCCCAGTATCGATATTTCCAGATCCAGGAGAGTAAGAGCAACAGCTACCACCCCATCTCCCTGGCACGAGCCCTGTACTCCTCCTCCCCGGTACTTATCCTGGACAACCCCCTGGCTGGGCTGGATACCCAGTCACGTGAACAGTTCTTCTTTGAGAGCGTGGTCTTGTTTGCGGCTGAGGAAAACAGGACTGTTGTCATGACTACTGATAATCCTGAGCTCGTGGAACATGCACATCAGGTAGGGAGTTTGGAATACTTGTTAAAGGATCGGAGGATTTGAGGGAATTTTAGAACTTGTGGCTCATAAACGGCCGGCCCTTCCTTAGGAAGAGGGTGTATTGCTCCTATATCAACCATTGCTCCTATATCAACGTAATACCTGTATTACTTAAGGGTATTAACTTAACAATAACACACAATATCCAGGTTATTCTGTTGGACCAAGGTAAAGTAATGTACGACGGGTCTCCAGCAGAACTGAACAGAGACTGTGACTCCTTCCTAGACCTGCTAGCTTCTCACAATAAAACATTACCTCCTCCCCTTCCTGTTAGGTTGGTTGTCAGGTTATCTTGGATTTTTGTTTAACTCTAGCATTTCTTCTGAATGGGTATAGGACGCAGCGGCGGAAGTCACTGCGGCGGTGTACAGTCCGGCGGAGGACGGTACAGCGGAGGTCGGTAACTTTTTGATTTTCAACAACTCAATATTCTCGATTTACATTGTCTGCAAAGCCCTGAATAAAAAAAATAAACAACTAAACTAACAAGAATTATACAAAATGATAAAGAGAAAATAAAAAATAAAACTTATAATGCGAATCTAGAACAAAACTTAGAAACAAGTTGAATGTGTAAGTTCTGTCTTAGGTACAGTTTCTAGTAGTAGTAGTACCGCCGTACTGTCCAAAGTAAAGTGGGTGTCATGTGATCCGCCGTACCGTCTAACCTTTTTGGAAACTACCGCCGTACCGGCCTCCGCTGTACCGTCCTCCGCCGGACTGTACACCGCCGCAATGACTTCCGCCGCAGTGACCGGTTCCCTTTCACAACGGATTTCATTTCCCTTCATTAAGACACCTGAGTTATAATGTTATTTATCATGTGGCGTTTCTAGGAGAAGGCTGAAAAAGCTGTTTGGTTGGTTCCTATGATTTAATAAACTTGATCATCCATTTTATACTTTCTTTGTGATTTATTGTTTTCTAGTGTAGTCTACTGATGGCTAATTCTATAGGAGAAGGCTTGAAAAAGGCAGAGTTACTGAGCCAGCGGATGAGATTAATATCAAGAGTATTCCCAATACCACATACAAGGAGGTACGATATCACCTTGTGCTTCATTGTAGTATTACTTTAGCTTTGATCGAAGATTAGATCTTCCTCTTCTTTTTTTAATAATAAAGTTAGACCCTATAATCTAAAATCTACCCCAAAAAACGCAACAATTACAGTTAATTAACAATCCCACCATTACAGTGGATTCAGAGTTGTAACACAGTGAAACTAACAATGCTGTTGATATCTCTCTTCTTCACCACCTTCCTCAACGCTATCACCTACTGGTTACTTCTCCGGTGGATTGCCAGTTACACCCCAACTTCCGTCGTACTGGTTCCTGAGAATGAGAATATTGCTTACATTACTAATGATGTCACTCCTAGGTAGTGTGTTTAAATGGGGTTTTCTTACTGACTTATGATTTATTTTACTGCCTATCTAAATTTACTGTTGGGTATCATTGTAAAATGTTGGTCTAATATAACCTAGTTATAGTTTTTTGTGGTGGCACAACTATAAGAGAGTAAAAGTGGGAGTTAATCACACTCATAGCATAGCTGTTCTAGTGTTCGTCCACATTTAAGTTGCTAACAAATAATGGCTTTTTCAGTTCCAACACAAGCTCTGCTAGTCCAGGGGAAGCGGTCCAGTTCTTTATCGCAGGTAACTATTATAATCTAAAAATAGAACTAAGAAACGAAACACCACAAGTACTGTAAGTTACGTGATAACGTCATGGTAAGGTGCACCTTCTAAAACGGATTACTCGGATATTTATATGCCTATATCAGACAAGCCGCTTCTTAAACATGTGGTCACGAATTGTAAACACGTGGGCACGGATTGTAGGGCTATTTGATAAGCCGCGCACTGCTGACCAACTTCACTAATCACACTATTTGAACTCAGCACTATTCGAGGAGCATCAAGCATTACAATTAGTAGATAAAAACCGTTGGAGCTGCTCACATTTCCCACTAACAAATAAAAAGATTCACCGACCTCTAAAGCTCTAAGAACGAATGTTTATCACTGCCCCCCGAGTACTTACATTTTGACTTGTAACTCAACTAACAGGTGGAGGTTTGTCTGCTGGTGGAGATAATAACGGTAATACTAGTGAACGTAGCAGTGGGGTCCGCTTGTTACACACAACTACACGATATGTTACACTCGGTAGCCACCATGTCACTTTACCACTACAACAAGACTTCCCTTCCTTCTGTTCTCGGCAGGTACTTATTGGGGTTATAGAATACCTTACTTACATACGTGGTAATGAACCTCTTTGAAATTTTTTCTCCCACTTTAAAATGTAGCCTCGTTATTTAGTTATTTTAATTTGGATATTGCACAATTTTAATGCTTCCAACGAATGCTTGTCGTCGACTGATGAGCCCTCATTATTTCAGTAGTTTAATTAAAAATACAACGCATATTTAAGCTATAAACCATGTTCAGGCATATCACATCTTATACATGTTATAAATTTGTCTCCGAATGGTCGCCTGACGCCTGTTAGTCTGCATTCGGTTTGAGCAATAATTCGATAAACAATATTACAATAATATGTCCACTATGCGTTACAATCTGTCCAGTATGCGTTACAATCTGTCACACAAGGAACTATTCTGCCAGGTTTACAGTGGATTTGGAGCTGATAGGTCGTCCTCTGATGGATTGCCTGGCAGCTGTCCTGTTTCTAGCTCTACAGATATTAGGGGCACTCATTGTACAGGTATGTGTGTGTGTGTATTGTCACTTGTTAATTAATTACTTTACACCATGTTAATTAATTACCGGCCCCCCACCACACGGGGTTAATGAACCTAATTATTTACATAATATGATGTTTTATGTGTTGCTGGGTTACGCGCCGAGCGTTAAGGTAATGTGCGGGGCATGGTTAAATTGAATAATTCTGAAGGATTGAGTGTCTGCGATAAGTGATCTCCTCTTTTCTCTCCTCCTATCCTCCTCGCAACACACACTATGACATCATGACCATGTTTATTTTGTATTTCACAAGCTCAGACTACAAATTTGACGTGTATTTGTCAAAATATGACGTAGAAGAATGGCGTGATAAGCTCTATTGAGCTGCTCACGATAGACTTAATTCTTGAGCGCCAGCATGCGATATCATAATATCGGCACGGCGCTAGGAGTGTTCTAACAGCTCCTCATAGATCACTCTTAAGTCTCCTAACTTTATAGATGTTTGAGATACTGTGATTTATTGGCCCACGTGACAGGGAAGTTACCACTGTTAGTAGATTTGTGGTTATAATCAATGTAGTTATAAAGAAGGGGTAATTTGCTGGGATTTGCCAAAAATCTTAGGTAAAATGTGCCAAGTTAGAAAAACGAATAATATGAGAGGCGCTAACCGTATACACTATACCTGTGCTAGGGTGCAGAGGGTGCGGGGTAGGGTGTCTGATCCGTAACTTTATATATTTTTGTGTGAGTATTTGAGTACAGAAGTGGCGTTATGATAGCGTTCACTCGTCTAAAATCGGCAGTGAAAATAGTAAGTATTACGTAAACAAACAGCTACAGGTGTCATAGAACTAGGAGTATCAAGATCTAGCATTATGTCACAATAAGTGTTCAGTTTTGTTCACAAATTAAAAGTTATCAAAATCTCACGGCTATCCTTTCCCTGCTTCTCACGAGTATAACGCGTCTCATTGTCCACCTTTCTTCAGAGATAAATGAGTTTTGCTGCCGAACCATCATATAGTATACAGTATACAATGTCATCGAATCGAATATATTATATTTCGTTAAGAAAATCGTGGTTTAAGTAGTGAGAAACTAATGAGGAAGTAGTGATAAAACACACCAGTCTATAAAAAGCAGTGAGAAATCACACAATCCTAGTCTTGGAAACGTGTTGATCGGCAGTTCAGGAAAACAAGCCACATCCACCTGCAGTGACGTGGTCTGTGGTAATGGTTTGGATAATTGTGGTTAAAAACAATTCCCAAGCAGACAGCCATATTATAACGAGTATCATCGTGTGAAATTACTTATTTTGTTGTTTCACTGTTTGCTACAAGATGCAGGAAGAGCTACAGTTTGACGGATTTACAGAATCACGTACTCCTGGCTACTCAAGAGCGAGTTCAAAGAGCTGTTTAATTATGTGAAGTATATTGTGTGCAGTATAAAGCTTTATAATTATGTGAAATATCAAGTTTTATATTATATTATTATTATATTATTTTATATAATATGCAGTTTTATACGATGACTTCTTAATTCTTACTGTCTAATCATGCCAGACACTAAATAGTATGACATATTAAGCTTAAGCTTCACTGCGAGGTCTGATAACATCAAGATAAGTGAGACTGTTAGTGACCATATTTTAAACTCTAGTAAATTCATTTGTGGTAACCATTTTCATAAACATAAAATAGGGGCAGTCCTTAAAAACTATTTCTTTATCACATTATCTCAATCTATGAATAGTCGTATACAGGGTGGCACCAATTCGAATTTTTACGTCAGATTTTTACATTTTCTGACTTATGTTGTACGTTCGAAAAAAATGTACTTTTTGGAATTCACTTTCCATTATCACTATGCATATGAATGTTAATTTTGCACACATAAACTTAAAAATTGACATCAAAATTCCTAAATCGTTCTGCGTGCTATCTTTGTTTGGATGATTAATCTCGTTGAGGTACAACAGATGATTTTTAGTCTAGATAAGGTCCAATAGGCTTAAAACTCATAAACATAGTCTGATAGTGTTTAGAGTGTATATACCGCGAAATAACACCGTGAAATCCTTTTTCTGATCCGGCAACACTAAAACCCCGAATATGGGTTTGTGATGAACGAGCACCTTTTGAAAAACACTTAAGCGGTGTAGATCAAGATTTTCCTGTGCTTGGAGGTTCTTGCAACCACTCTAAGACAAGGGTGTCCGTAAAAATAATATCAAGTCAACGGTAGAATTATGTTGAGTTTGGCGATTGACGCAAACGAGGAGAGAGCGTTCTGTTATCATCCACATGTGAAAAATCTTGCACCAACGCTGCTCAAATGACCTGGGGATCCATTTTTCTACTCCATCAAGACACAGAATCAAGACCACAATTCCAAGTATCAGCAAGATACTCAACGTCAACAGTCTTTGTATGATGGTTCATTTGCAGTAATGGGGCCACTTTTATTGAACACTAATCCATCAGATCTTCACCTCATTGAAGACCCTCTGCTGTTTAAAGCAAACATATCAGCATTACTTAAATCGTTTTCAGATCACCCATCTATGAGCAACTAGAGCTCAACAGCTACCCTAATGGAAATTCTTTGCTGGACTGGAGTATGAAATAGGCAGCAGCGATACTTTTTTTCTTTTTTTTTTAAGAGAGGCTGGGCCTGGTTGGCCCACAAGAGGATAGCATATGGATGCTTTGCCTACCTCTGGGGTGTGGCAGTCCTGTGGGAGGATGCAAGTGGAATCAAGATGTGTAATCAAGGATGATGGTTAGTGTTGTGGGGGTGTGTCATAGATAAACGCTTAAGTGGTGGTTGAGTGTGGAAGAGAGAGGCGAAATAAGACGGCGTTAAAGTAGTCGCTATGTTACACCGCAGCGATGCTGCAAGGGCGGTCGAACTATTCGATGAACTGCAGTAGAGGAATCTACGATTAGTAAGTAATTAGAACCACTACCATCCACACCTTGGTTAACGCACTGTTAGTACACACCTTACTATTAATCATTACTATTAAAATCAACCAATCAACCATCATTACAGAATGGTAACAGGTAAGAACTCGGACTCACCTTACCACAGGAAATTGAAAAATAAGTTCCACCCAAAGCTTGAAAAAGCTTTTAGCTGTGGGTGGGACTCACTTAGAAACTAGGTGTGATATACCATTAGCAATATTGGGCTAGATCAAAGGTGTCCCGGTCCTTAATACCATATAAAACAGTACAGGAACTAGCTCGACAAATCTATTTTAAATTTGTTTTTTCGGGTACGTTCCTGCATCCTAGTCATCCTTTGTCATCTCTACATTTCTACCATGGCAACATCAATAAACTCGGAGTACAAGATTCAGAATGAAAAAGAGCGATTTGTTTGGATCTCCTACTTTCTCCTCGTACTGATATCTTCCCTGGTCGGAGATTGTCTGGTCCTGGTAGCATCAATAAAAAGTGATGCTTTGAAACTGAACAAAATCCTTGTCGTTGTGATAAAGCATATTGCAGTCTGTGATCTGATACGTTCTGCGGGGACTGTAGTTCCAATAGTAGTGTCCCTCAGCTCAAACGGCTGGGTCTTTGGAGATGGTTTGGGTTATGTCCTGTTTGTTTGCGAATCATCCAGTGGGCAGGCATCTAACATTTTTGTTGCTGTTCTTTGCAGCTTTAAGTTACTTCTTTTGAAGTTTCCTATGAAATCCAGGAATTGGACCATGATGAGAGCTCACGTAGTTTGTGCTTGTGTTTGGATCTTTTCCCTCGTTTTTTCCACAATTATCTTTAAGAGAGACATTTTGTTTGACTTTATTCTCTACAAAGTAGTTGTGGAACTACCGCTAAACTGGGTCATTCCAATATTCACATTCTTTCCACTGGCCTCCATTATCATTCCAACTCTTGTTGTGGTCCTAACAACGATCCCAACTCTGTACTATCTGGTGGATGCAAGACGGACTTCTCGGCACATTGGAGGGCGGTTAAGGTGGCAGGGAATCCTCACTGTTGTTGCTACGGCGACAGTTTATTGCATTTGTACACTCCCAGTTATGCTTGTGGCGATGTCAAAAGTATTAGTATTGGAGCTCAAGGATATGGGAACGTATAGCCAATTTATGAGAGCTGCACGATTTTTGAATACTCTTAACATCACGTGCAATTTCTACATCTATTGTTTCACTGTAACGAGCTTTAGACTATTTATTAAAGATTGCCTGTTCCGATGGTATTCTTCGTATCGTTGTAATGTAAGACCAGTTGAAGATACGACAAGAACTATCGATACAGTGCTGAGCAATAACCGGAAGGCTGAAATTATGACAGCTGTTGACGCTGAAGTGTGGACTGGGATAGAAATGGACGAATTGGATTAAGACGTTGGACAATGGACATGAGACTGGACATAGGGGCTGATAAGAAAGGGCAAAGGTGACATAAAGACTGGAGAAAAGAGTAGATGTCATCAAAAATTGAGATCGAGAATTAAATGAAAGACAATTAATGCGATGGAAAACTATTCAGCTGAGTACGTGTTTTAAGGCTTTGACCTAAAATAGTAAAATGGGGATCTAAACGTGAACTCGAGCATCTGGGACTTGTCAAGTATGTTATAAAGGGCGTGTTAGCGTTCTTGTAAATCTAAAAAGCTTTTCAAATGTGTGGTGATAACTGATAACCCTCCTAACACCCCAGGTGATAGTCAGCCCGGGAGCAATAATGGTGATAACACCTCCTAACACCCCAGGTGATAGTCAGCCCGGGAGCAATAATGGTGATAACACCTCCTAACACCCCAGGTGATATTCAGCCCGGGAGCAATAGTGGTGATAACACCTCCTAACACCTCAGGTGATAGTCAGCCCGCGAGCAATAGTGGTGATAACACCTCCTAACACCCTAGGTGATAGTCAGCCCGGGAGCAATAATGGTGATAACACCTCCTAACACCCCAGGTGATATTCAGCCCGGGAGCAATAGTGGTGATAACACCTCCTAACACCTCAGGTGATAGTCAGCCCGGGAGCTGTAGTGGTGATAACACCTCCTAACACCCTAGGTGATGTTCAACCCGGGAGCAATAGTGGTGATAACACCTCCTAACACCCTAGGTGATATTCAGCCCGGGAGCAATAATGGTGATAACACCTCCTAACACCCCAGGTGATATTCAGCCCGGGAGCAATAGTGGTGATAACACCTCCTAACACCTCAGGTGATAGTCAGCCCGCGAGTAATAGTGGTGATAACACCTCCTAACACCCCAGGTGATAGTCAGCCCGGGAGCAATAATGGTGATAACACCTCCTAACACCCCAGGTGATATTCAGCCCGGGAGCAATAGTGGTGATAACACCTCCTAACACCTCAGGTGATAGTCAGCCCGGGAGCTGTAGTAGTGATAACACCTCCTAACACCCTAGGTGATAGTCAGCCCGGGAGCAATAGTGGTGATAACACCTCCTAACACCCTAGGTGATAGTCAGCCCGGGAGCAATAGTGGTGATAACACCTCCTAACACCCCAGGTGATAGTCAGCCCGGGAGCAATAGTGGTGATATTCCCCATGAGTCTGGTGACAGTACTGTGTTACGTGTTCTACAAGCCGTGTTGCCGTGTTATTAGAATACTTCACGCTGATTACAAGCAGAATATTTACCGTCACATTTGTGAGACTGTCAGGTTAGTAATATGATTTGTTGACACAAGTGCATCGGATTTCAAATTTTAAGTTATTTTTAAATGTTGCGTGTTATTTTGATTTTAAATCCAAGGGTTAATCAATACCTAATTGTACTATGAAGTGCTTATCTGAGTTCAGAACAGTTAAATACATAGCACTACATAAATATTTCACATTCTTCCAATCACGTGACATTGTTTCCTCTATTAGTTGTCTGACCCTGATAAGAGGATACGGAGAGCAGGATGAGTACATCTCTCTACTGGCTAATCAGACTAAAAACTTATACTGCATTAACATTGTAAGTTCCTCTTTGTTTTTGTGGTTTTTTAGGGGATTTTAATTCTGAAGTTAGCGCCAAATTTTCTTGTGTAATGCTAACCAAACAACCTAGGTTGAAGCCGCAAAGGTAACGTATCTTAAATGTGGTGAAAAACCACACGGCTTTGTTGACTATTACTAGCAAAAACCGAGTTTCCTCTGTTTATAAAATGTACTCCTCTACATTTATTTACAATGACTGTCTAATGTTTATTCAGGTGTGGGCAGGTATACAGAGATGGTTATCTCTCTACCAAGATACCTGTGTAAATATCATCGTTATGGGATCCTTTATAGCTACTACTTTCGTATCAGACAAGGTTCTTTATACTTTTTGTTTGATATCCGCCAAAAATGTCAATCTTATTTTTTGGGTATTAAGCAGAATTGAATAATGAATAACAATTCAGCATCCTACAATAATTCGAGATACATCTAACGCGAACGGATTGACGAGTTTTTACCAAACATTCGATCAGTGATCTCATCATTACAGATGGACAGCCTCATTTGATTATGACATCTTATCATTCCAAGTCAAATAGTTTTACTAGCACCCTCCTCCAGATAAGAATGGAGCTGTTAGCACTAGCCCTCCTCCTCCTCCTCCTATCCACACAACACTCCCGACTCCTCTGGAACCTTCTCGACTCCTGCGACGTTATCCTGACCTCTATAGACAACTGCGCGAGTCTGGCGTACCACTCCCCGCGCGAGGTGGACAACCCCAGGTTCAAACCTCCTGCGCTGTGGCCTCCTAAGGGAGGGCTGCTTTTCCAGGACGTCTTCGCTAGCATGTCCGTAAGTATTCCTCCACAGAGAGACACGCTCACTGCTCACTGCTCACTGCTCACTGCTCACACACACACACACACACACACACACACACACACACACACACACACACACACACACACACACACACACACACACACACACACACACACACACACACACACACACACACACACACACACACACACACACACACACACACACACACACACACACACACACACACACACACACACACACACACACACACACACACACACACACACACACACACACACACGTACACACACACACACACACACACACACACACACACACACACACACACACACACACACACACACACACACACACACACACACACAACACACACACACACAACACACACACACACACACACAACACACACACACACACACACACACACACACAACACACACACACACACAGATTTGTAAAGACAAACTTTCCCCTAGAAGGACGAACCATCAGCCGATGTCATTTGAACCTCCGAAAGTGTTGAATAGTTATTTTGCAGGATATTTTAGTTCTAATTGCAATGTTGCACGGGGTTTTCACATTATCTAAAAAACAGCTGATTATCGTTCACACAATAAAGATAATATCTACATTGCTTGTTCGCTGTTGCCTGTTGGAGTGCACAATAATAGATACACAAGCAGATAGGAGTGTACAAATATTTGCAAGCACTCTACAGTGTACAGCACACCATTAAATTGCTCCTATATTAGGACATGCCATATATTCGCGGTCTTTTAATCGACTTCCAACATTCTTCACTTATTCCATGATTACATTACTCACAGATTGCATATATTTACTGGTTCACAATGATCTAATGATTAACAAACCAGCGAAAAAATCAACATACCGATCAGGCTAATCATACGTAATGAATTCACATTATTTCAGAGTACTCAAATTTACCAATGTTTCTTTGCAGGTCGATCAGGAGCCGCAACTGAGGAATATTACGTTTAGCGTGAAACCTGGGACTAAGATTGGAGTAGGAAGCTCTCAGAATGGTGGCAAGAACTTCATAGTACCCCTCATTTTTAGGTAAGAAATAACGTCATAGTACCCCTCATTTTTAGGTAAGAAATAACGTCATAGTACCCCTAATTTTTAGGTAGGAAATAACATCATAGTACCCCTCATATTTATGTAAAATATAACATTATAGTACCTCTCATATTCAGGTAGGAAATAACTTCATAGTACCCCTCATATTTAGGTAGGAAATAGTTTCATAGTACCCTTCATAATTCATATCTAGGTAGGAAATAACTTCATAGTAACCCTCATATTAAGGTAAGAAATAACTTCATAGTACCCCTCATATCTATGTAAGAAATAACTTCATAAAACTCTTTATATTTAGGTAGGAAATAACTTCATAGTACCCCTCATATTTAGGTTAAAAACAACATCATTGTAGCCCCTATTATAAATTATAATAGTGACGCGGCAAAACAAAGTTGAATGTACCTTTTTTATCAAACATTATTATCCGCTATTACAGTTTGTTTAATGAATAGTCCCGTGAGAAATGTATAGATACGGTTCAGTTAAAGTTACAGATAGACATGTAGGTAGGTAGGTAGGTAGGTAGGTAGGTAGGTAGGTAGGTAGGTAGGTAGGTAGGTAGGTAGGTAGGTAGGTAGGTAGGTAGGTAGGTAGGTAGGTAGGTAGGTAGGTAGGTAGGTAGGTAGGTAGGTAGGTAGGTAGGTAGGTAGGTAGGTAGGTAGGTAGGTAGGTAGGTAGGTAGGTAGGTAGGTAGGTAGGTAGGTAGGTAGGTAGGTAGGTAGGTAGGTAGGTAGGTAGGTAGGTAGGTAGGTAGGTAGGTAGGTAGGTAGGTAGGTAGGTAGGTAGGTAGGTAGGTAGGTAGGTAGGTAGGTAGGTAGGTAGGTAGGTAGGTAGGTAGGTAGGTAGGTAGGTAGGTAGGTAGGTAGGTAGGTAGGTAGGTAGGTAGATGCCAGGTTTGCTCACCGTTTATCACAACCTAATAACAACATGTTGCCATATCAAGGTGCAGGCCCCGGGTTTGTCCCTGTTGTTAATAAGAAGCAGCTGCTGGTCCGGTGAGATCAGTCAGCGTGTCACTCACAGTGGGACCTAATTTCACCCATTGTACCGCTCCTCTAATGTAACACAGAGCTCAAGTTTGTTGTATCTGGACAAACATGATTATCAACGTGTGCGGTAGCCGGTATGTTGCCCTTAATGTCTGATTCGATACCCTTTTAATTTTTATAATATCCATCCTGCGATAATAATAGGGTATCATTAAATTCACGTAATGGCACCCTTTCCGTAATTGCTCGATGATCAGTACTTTGGCAAGTGGACCTTAAATATTTGGTGGGTCATGGGTATACCCAGACATAATGTTAAAAATAAAAAGGGATATATATACATATTGTTATCAATACAAGGGTTATAATATATTGCTGTAAAATGAGTTGGAATGACAGCAATTGGACTGCAAAGTAAGAAGATAACAATGTTAACTTAATACCTACAACAAGTACCTACCTAATACCGACACACATATTTTACTGAATACCTCTTTCTTCCCTACATGTTGAGCTTAAAATTATTGTAACATTAGTTAATGTATGATACATAATATTATTATAAAAATATTATGTTAAACAAATGCTGCAAAAAGTATTTTTGAAATTATGCTAAGGTTACAACACTAAATTAACCCCGTCGTTACCTTATAATATTAGAGCTAGTGTTTAAAAAGTGATGTAAGGTGAACCAACATCACGTTATACACACCCTCTATTCTCTGCACGCCGAAATATGCCCTGGTTCACGTGTGAAGTGTAACATACCGTCATAGCATAAAGATTCGAATAGGAGCATTTTCTGAGAACATCACATTCCCGACTAAATCTTTCCCTGTCCCCTTGGATGATTTTACCAGTGTTAAAATTCAAATCCACACCTAGAACTTCTCCACACGTAATTAGGTTTTCGTGTCGTGACACATTACAGTGACATTTTAAACATATCACAGGAGCCTGCATGTGCATAACGGTGACATAAAGATAGACGACTGGGACACGCAGTCACTCTCTCTGGAGGATCTGAGGAAATCTATTGGATTTGTTCCTACTGATCCGCCTGTTTTCAAGGGATCAGTCAGGTGAGAATTACTCTACTTTTACCTTGTAATTCTGATTTTGAATTTACTGGAAAACTTTTAATCATGGAGCCAGGAGCGCGCCCAAATATCTTGTGTGATCTTCACTCTTTATATAGGACACCTGGCCATGCCGCCTCCAGTGTTTCAAATGGTGACAATTTGGTCCGAACATTCAAAATTTCATTACGACTGCACGACGTTTAGTTAATTACTGCCAACCAATAATAGGGAAGGGTTTAAAGTATAGTGTTACATTGCAGAAGCCCCGCAGATGATCCTTTAATTGATTTATCAAATTATCCGTACCTGGTTTTAATTTTTTAAAGAAGTTTTTGTTTTCAAGCGAGGCCTTGAAGGCATCGCCTGGAATGGAACACCCTGTGTATTTAGCAACCGCGTTAGATCGTGAAATTTCAGTAAGCATCTATTTATATCGTAATGATTGGCGTGTTTCCAAGATGTGCAGCTGTGCTTCAGAAGTCCCACTTCTGGGTCAGAATCACCAGATTAGAATTACTGGACAGTGGGCAGATTGAATTTTGGAGCGGGATGTATAAAGTGGCAGATTCTTAGCTAAATTTGTATGCATTTTCTTTCTGATTCCCTCAATTATCAAATATCAATTTGTATACTCATTGTGCTTTAAGTCCAAACGAGGTGTTTTAATTGAATTTAATGGCCCCGTCGCATGTTTGAAGCTTCAAGAGATTTTATGGAGTGCGCGGAAATATATTTGCTGTTACTACAGTGTCTTCATCAGCCAGTACACTCGAGCGCCGCGCATATATACTCGTGAGAGTTTACCATGTGCGTTCTGCGTGCTCCAACCTATCGTGGTGTTATTGAAAATGCAGCGGCCAAATAGTCTGCTTGTTCATCTTGGCTCTGGCAATGTTATTCAATATTCGCTCCACTTGTATTCAGATTTACATCACTGTTCATTTTACCCATAATACAAAACTTCAATGATTCAGATACAATTTGGATCCGATAGAAAAGTTTACAGATGAAGAGATATGGGCAGCACTTGAGACTGTATCTTTGAAAGATTACATTACAGAACTTCCTGGTGGATTACAATCTGATGACGGTAATTCCCTTTACACTTTAACGATTTGTGATCCTGTAAAATATGATAATAGATATCCATGATCCACTATTTCGGGCTAATATAAGTTTAAATGATGAAATTGTGATCAATGACATTTTTTAGTGAAAACTAAGAATTCGTAGCGATTAGGGTGACCTGGAAAGTTTTCATATTTCAGTGTACAGTTTTGACCGGGAATCTAGAAGACTACTCTCCCTAGCCATGATGATTCTTAACCACTTTAACATAATTGTTGTCGAGGAACCTAAAGTTATCTCAAATACTGAGCTTCTCAACGCTTTCACTAAGGTTTTTATCTAAGAGATAAGATGAATCCATCTTGCTAGGTGATTATTTGTATCATATTTGAGTTTAAATTTAACTATATTTTGAGGTTTGAGCGGCAATCTAATTTCCCATTTCCAGGTGCTCGACGAAGACCTGTCCAAGACAACTAGAATAGTAATAGGACAGAGATCAGACACCCTCCTCTCCTGTGACACAGTTCTCCTCCTGAACCAGGGCAGAATAGCGTCACTGGGCACTAAGGCTGAGTTGGAGGAGGGCGGCTGCCCGCATTATGGGACTTTGAGGCGGGCCTCAAGACTTGTCAGCTCTTCTTGAGGAAGCACTTTTAGACTTGTTTGCCCTTCTTGAATCTTGAAGGACTTTTATTTTTAATAGAGGACCTACCTACAGACACGGAAAATGTACATCAGTTCCTAAAATTAGCATACATTAACAGTAACACTTATTTAACGTATGAGAGCCTTTTATGCACTCAGGCTTACATTTTTCTTTTAGCCATTTGAAAATTATCTAGGAATATTTATTATGCATCTATCAGCAATCTTTTGATTTTACCAAGTAATCGCAAACGTTTTATCATCATAATATTTCATGATTTATTGACAAGTTTTTAGCTTCAAATAATCTTTTTACGGTTTATACAAACTACCAATAATTTTGTAATGTTTTAATATAAAGCAGTATGTTACATTATAACCGGAATCAATCTATTTATCATGTTCACATGTGATAAAATCTTATTTCTGACTTTATATTTTCTTCTGGTTCCTGTAAATCCAAGCAGATAAACTATTGGTAATGACGCGTTAGTTTAAATGTAGTAATCTGACTACATTTATACTACAGTACTGCCGCGGCCGTGCTCAGACTATAACTATAACTATACGGCCTTAACATAATGTTAAGGCATATACTCAATTCCTTAATATGGCGTATCGAGTGACACCACTTTAGAGTTAGACGGGTTCCTGCTAGTTAAGATAATCCACAAAGAATACATTTTATTTTGTATGTAAAATCCTTTCAAATAACTCATGTCCAGTAATAGCATCTGATATAAAGTTTAGCCTTACAAACATTAAAACGGAAGTATCAAACTTCACTAAATAAATCAATGGATGTCCCGCATATTTGCATAATATTTGCATATTTGCATATTTGACATCATGCACATTGCACGGGTCACGGCACGACAAATATGCGGCCTTAGAAAAAGTCTGAAGCTAAAAATATCGTTTAAAAAAGATAACAAAACGTAACTTAACTAGCACTGAAAATGTTATAAATAATCTTCGAAAAACTCTACTTTCAAATCTAAAGTGTCTGTTAATCACTTGTTCAAATGACTGTGGTTGTTAAGCCACCACATGCAGGCCAACATACAGCCAGGAGGTTTTGGTTTTGTTTCATCAAAAGCGAAAGATTCGATCCCATCTCTTGGTATTTCCACTACTTCCACTATTTCTCCTTCTTCTACCAGTCCACCACCTGAAGTATAAATATTACTTAGACTTGAGTTGGAAAATGGGGATTTCATTCCCTGATGATTTCTAACCTCCTGCTGTTTTGAATTAGAGTTTAAACAAGAGCTTAAATGTAAAGTTCAATGTTTGGGGTCCAGATAGAATTAGGGTTACAACAGACTGTACAGTGTACAATACAATGTACATTGTACAATTGTACACACCTTCAGAAACACGGTCAGTATCCACAACCTCCGTGTAGTACATGTGTTGGAAAGCGCCACTAGTACCAACACCGTTTACAACTTTACTTATCTTTACCTGAAAGTAATGGTAAGTTTCTTACAGACCAGTCGCTTCAAAACAACAATTTTAGATGGGAACAAGAATTGCGCCCGTTGTTTCGTTTTGGCGGACGCTAGATTTCCGTTCACTATATTTATAAATATAAGCTCTAATCAGCTCACTGCATAATAATAATATACACATAGTACATTATACTACGAGTACGCATGCCACGTACAAATTGGGCTCATTACCTAATACTATACATTAATTAATACACTCACGCCGCGCATTTATTGACATGCTAGCTATATACATCATATCTCCGCAAGCAATACTCGCGCGCTGCACTGCGCGCTAGTTGTCATGGTAACTAACGAAAGGACGGACGACATATTTAAACCCACCTATCTCGTTCTCCAAAATCCACGTTTTTCTGCAAAAACGTCCATTCGTAACCTTTCACTATTGTCTTTTTACAAAAGAGTGTGAACGGAAAAAATTACGTAAATAAATGGACTTGTTATCTTTCTACTAGGTCATTAATGCTAAAGTCTCTAATAAGTTAATATAACTTACTAGATCTGTTATTGAAACTTTGTACCCCGTTTCCTCGTAAACTTCAGCTACAGCTATTTCCTCAGGACTGTCATCCCGATCTGAAATTGTGGACTTCATTAGAAATACAAATATAAAGTCAATTTCCATTTCTAATTCAAGAAAAAATAATTTAATTTAGTCCCATGAACAAGCCGGTGGTCACATGATCAGACATTACCATAAACCAGTCTGAAAATACCCTCACCTATGATCCCAGCACAGAGCTCCCAAGTTTTACCCGGATCTGTAGAGTACTCGTTAGTAGGCGGGGTCTCAGGATTCCAGGGTACTGACTTGGCTGCTTCACTCTTACAGAACACTGCCGGTCGGAACTGTCGTACCATTACAAACACCTAGAATACCTGCGTTACGTTATGACAAGGTATAATTCAAGCCGTCAGTTAGTTGTGGAACAAGAAAATTGAGGATAATCTTGTGCGAGGGTAGGGACCCAAATGTCGTTTCTAACCTAAATAAACTTTAAGGAGGCTTCTTATCAGTAGCCGCACCTCCTTACTCGGTTTCTGAACTGGAATTTATATAATCAGAAATAGAGTAGAAGCTAGTAATCTTGTTTACATAAAATGGTTGGTAAAACTATTGCTGGAAATCTGTACCGTTAAGTCACAGGGATGCAACGACTAAATTAATTTGATTTTGACATTAAAACTAAATTATTGTTATTTTTGTAAGGTCATCAAATTTGCAATATGTAATGACCATGGTTATTTTGCGAATTCTTGTCGGTTTTCCAGTCGTTACACCCCCAAATTACAAGAATAAGTCACGAACCTTTCTCTCAGTATTATAGATCATAACTGCCACGCTGTCGAATGTTTTGGCAAGTTCCCAAGTTTTTTCTATTCCGTTCATATTGAACTTCAGAGCGTAGGGTTTGAGGTATTTGGGGTTTTCTAGAGGGCCCAACCAGGCATTCTTGATTAACGCCATGATCCTTCCTCGCATAAAATAGGTAAATGTGTCCTGCGCTATGAATAGACAAAATGTTAATGTGAAAATATTGAATATTTTTTCTTTACAAAGTCTCATTGAATTGTAAGTAAAGAAAAAACTGCTGAAACAGCTATAAAAGCAGTGTTAAAACGCACGGAAAATTAGACACTAACTATAAACACGACTGACTTACATCCGATACTATTGTTATTGTTATAGTTGCGGTCGAGCACAGTACTATAAGAACGATGTATCAAGGTATACATATATAGTAAGAATTTATTAAAATTTGAGACGAAGAAGCAATAAAATGGGAAGTTTTGTGTATTTGAAACATTTTGAATCTAATATTAAAAACAGCAATACAATGGCAAATAACTACAATCTCTATATCACCATCTAGCTTAACCCTCACACTGTATGTCCCCGCTACTTGATAAACGAAAAAAAAAGATATTTATTACTATTTGATATCTGTTTAAGTTAAATCAGTTAATCTAACTCGCACTCTGCAAGTTAAAGTGAACTCAAGATGTTCAATTCAGCAAGTTAAAGCTCTAAACGTCGAGCTGAACTTTTGGGATTTTCAAATTTTACGTAAAAGCCCAAAACACATAAATCATGTTAACATTTATCAAAACTTTTTAAAGAGGTTTACTCAGCAAGTTATTCAACTAATTAGATTGTGGCGTGTGGCCCAGCCAAATTGGCTAGGTCACGTGACTCAATAATCGAGCATACTAAACACTTTCAATGCTAACAGAGACAGTCGATGCAGATCAATATTTACATAATAATTAAAAAAAGTATATCAAACAAACTATTTGCTACGAAAAGAGAAGCGATCACATAATAATACTCATCATAATATTAATTCATTAATTACAATCGGAAACGCTCGCTCGATACAAATCTTACAATTATTATTTCAGCGTGACTTAACTTTAATACAAATAAAAGTAATATTGAGTAGTCGGCATTAGGCAATGTTATTTATAGAAAGTATAGTAAATAGCGGACTAAAACTTAATGCTTGTCATTTTTCTATCAAGTATTAAATTGATAAATGACCCCACAACCTGTTAAATACATCATCAAACTCACCACTAAAATCATACTTATAGAAAGATGACTCAAGGCTAATTATATAACCAGATCAAAGCCATCATGTGCGCGGCTCAAGGCCTTCAACTGAAGACTGTAAAACAAGACAAATGATTATATTAAGATCAACTAAACTGATAATTCCAGCCGATCTGAGGCACATAATGATAAATGTGAGAGAGTCGAGTGTGTGGTGGAACCCAAATAGCAATCAAATATCTGAACATCCTTCCTGCTTATACGCGGACACAAATACAAAACTCATATCATCCACAAACTAACGACAGGCCAGCTTATCGACAGTTTTTTAATCAAATAAATCTGATCTATCATAAGATGACGCCGAGGTGTGTAGCCATGGTAACAGACTTTAGTCACAATCCCCACGTGACCCATCAGGAAGGCGTGGGCGTCCCTGTAACAGGTTCAATATTACAGAGTGTAATTACAAGTTATCGAGGCTAATACCCAACCTTATTTATCTTTATAGTCATTTTAAGAGCGATCCTTAGTAGATTTGTCCTTAAATAGCTTAATTGCTAACATATCGGCTGTACAACGTTAAATCGCAATACACAGTTTGGCAAACACCAGAAAAACTGTGTACACACCAAATACGATGGTTATAAAGTTTTTGTAACTTACTTGGTAACCAAGTTTGGATGTAACTTACTTGGTAACCAAGTTTGGATGTAACTTACTTGGTAACCAAGTTTGGATGTAACTTACTTGGTAACCGAGTTTGGATGTAACTTACTTGGTAACCAAGTTTGGACGTAAGTTACTTGGTAACCAAGTTTGGATGTAACTTACTTGGTAACCGAGTTTGGATGTAACTTACTTGGTAACCAAGTTTGGATGTAACTTACTTGGTAACCGAGTTTGGATGTAACTTACTTGGTAACCAAGTTTGAATGTAACTTACTTGGTAACTGAGTTTGGATGTAACTTATTTGGTAACTGAGTTTGAATGTAACTTATTTGGTAACTGAGTTTGAATGTAACTTACTTGGTAACTGAGTTTGAATGTAATTTACTCGGTAACTGAGTTTGAATGCAACTTACTTGGTAACTGAGTTTGTAGATCTGTGTGGTCCACAGGAATACCATTATGAGGCTGGGAGTTCGTCCAGTGACCCTGACAGATTTATTGTGATTGAAATAGGACTCATAACTTGAAGTTTAAACATAACTTTCATGTTTTCAAGTTAAAACTGTATCGCAAAAGGTTGGCAATGAAAATCTGGCGATAACATAAGAGACAAGATCACAGGATTGTGCCTTTGCAACACTCCAACGATACAAGAATCAAGACATGTACTCAAGGTATGTGTTTCACTACATATTTGAATCAAGAACACCACACGTGACGTTTCCTTTTACGGACAAAACAACGTGCTTCTGTGATGGATCTCAGAAAATATTGCTTCCCCTTATTTCATTCACAATTTGAATTAAAGGATCAAGTATTAAAACTTATAGCAGTTAGTTAATATTTGTGCTATTACACAGCTTTTCAGCCAAACATTGTAACTTTACCGATATAGCCAGAGTTCCAAATTTCACGGTATTTGGGGCTCTAAATTATGGAAGAAAATGTCATTGCCTAGATTTAATGTGCATTAAGGAAATCGTGTTAGGTAGGTTATACCGAAACAGAATAAGTAATTTGTCCCACAATAATTAATTTCGCCCCACAATAATTAATATTTGCGGAAATGAAGGGAATCAAAACAAGATTCGATGAAATAATTACCTGTTCATGGTTGTTATTGTTATTCTGTTGTTCAAACATTAACTTTTCTATCTTTTTCTTAACTTCCTCCATGTCTCGTTTTTCCTTATTTTTATCCTCCCTCAGCCGCAGTAAACTGTGGTAGGAAGGACCGCAGAGAATCTTAGTGAAGTTCCCGCAGCAGTTATTAGTGGTGTAGGGGTTCCGAACAACTTCGCCGTGCCTTTGGGCCCATGACCCTTTAATCTGAATTGAGTTGAGTGTTGCTTGCAGCTTTCAAGTTAAAATGTTAAGTGCTATTACGCGAACGGGTTTCCAAGAATTAACTCAAGAGTCAATTCTCAAGTGTTGTGCGCTAATATTCAAATAATTCTGAGCCACCCATAATATTTATGGAATTAGTGTCATGAAAATGAAATCAAACAAATTAGTACACCAGAATTCCGTTACAATTACCTCTTCATTAGTAGTCTGATTAGTACCAGCCAAGTAGCTGTGGAATCCAGCAAGACCTAACACTGACCAAACAGCAAAGAATGCGATGAGTGCCTCTATAACACTAGCTGGTGTTTCACTCATTGCTGATATCAACGTATTCTCACCATCTCGACTTACTGAGAGAGTTAAAAAGTGTTAGTGAACTTTCGTGGAACTCTGATGATCAAATCATTCCAAGCATGTTCACTATTGTTATCTAATAATTCTATCTAATCAAAATGTTAGTCCTAATTACTGATCTTAAGTTAAGAATCTGGCTTCGTGAGGTCACGAAACCAAAATTCTGTAACTTTCACTTCACAATCGAATTATTATAAATAATGTAACTTCCTCTGCCGGCCCTAAAACGTAACGCGCGTTTCAGATCGCGCGTGGCTGCAAGCGATTTCTCGCCAGATAATTGTCTCCGCGCGTTACGCAAAATATACTGTTCATTACAATTTAGTTACCAGGGCCAACTTGTGACAAACACGTAAAAATCCTTTTTCATGAGAATTAAAATAAAGTCACGATAAAACCCTCAATGAACTAGGAAGTACTTACATAAGACAATATGAGCGATACTGAATGCCAGGATGTATATACAGAGGACAGTTATAGTAACTATCATTAGGTAGAAATATCTGTAGTTTCGTTTTCCAACGCAGTTTCCTACCCACGGACAATGATGATCAAACCGTTCTGAAAAGCAAATTGTTAATTTAAGAAGGTCAAAACCCAAACTTTAGGATTAAAATGGTTGGTTTAAAAATGGGCTGAAATTTAGGGGCTAACTGCGACCGAAAGTGCAGGCATAACTCAGAAACAATATGCAAAGTTCGAGATTTTAAAAGAGTGTGCCATCGTTTTGCCAACATTAAAATGTATAATAATAAAGAATGCCATTATAAATACTTTTCAGTCACCAACAATACAGCTGCCGTATTTTAAACGGGGGTTTAACAATTGTACGTAAATATAGTGTTACACACTGTGCCAAATCGTGATGGTTCGCTATTTCCCTTTTCCACAGAATATGACAATGATCTAATGTACATTGTACTTTATGGGGTTTCAAAAGCAAACCCTGTCATCAACTCAAACATCAAAGCACCATCCGTTGATCTACTCGCAGCTGGCCTCTTTCATTTAAACTGCACCCATATCCAAAAACCCGCATTCTCGCATTCTAAGAATGTAGGAAATTTTTAAAAGTAGGAAATTTTTGACAAAAAGTAGGAAATTCGAGAGCCAACTCTGAGAATTTTCGATAATATTTCAGTAGGAATTTAAGTGAAAGAGCAGACTAAAAGTTGCTGGACCGTTATTTAAATGTCCTCAGTCTGGGATCCACTGATCCAGTCTATCAAATTTCGTTTCACAGACCAAAGTTTGTTGCTATTAGCTACAAAATCTGTGCATCAAGTAACCACTAACCAGATGCTAATTATTGGGGCATTTTCGCGTACACGACATAAATAGTTGTCATTATTACTTTATTAACATTTTACTATCTACTTATCTAGTCTATGAAAAGGGCTTGAAAGCAGAAAGTGATGGTAGTAGATGAGAAAACATTTTTGCCAAAATTATAAACTCTTGATACTTCATGCTGTCTCCTATTTCGTGCTTTAGTTAAGCCAAGTGTTTATGGATTCTAGAATCAAGACAATTTATCCCAATAAAAATTGAAATCAGAAAATAGTATGCTAAAATCGTTCTCTATTGTCAGATTCGTTCCAGGAGGCCAAATCTAGTTTAAATTTCCAAAATTTTCGGGGGCTTCGCCCCCAAAAGTAACCTAGGATTATCTATTAAAAAGCATTCCGGGCCAGGCACGTAGACAGGGGGGGGGGGCTAGGGGGCGGCAGCCCCCCCCCCCCGGAAAAAATCGAACCCCAGAAAAAAGATAAGCCCCCTAGTCCCCATGGTCGCCTGGTAACTGGGCTGTGTTTATGACTGCAGTCAGTCAAAGATTTGAACTGTGGATTAGTAAATATCTGTCATTAAATCCAAGCAAACATTCTAGAAGACTTCTATAAATAGTCAATAGTGTCCCCTAGACCGTAGGAAATGTAAAAATCTTAAGACGATGAGGCCTGAGTATGGAGTAAGTCGTAAATTCTGATTGGAGAATGCAGATTGCTGTTGTGAAGTTACCAAATTTACGTGAGTACTTGATTCTTTTCAATCCCAGTTTATTGCTGTCCTACAAATTTCTTTAATGCCAAATGTCGTCTAAAACACCCTATTTCGCAAAAATTTTCCGGGGGGCTGCGCCCCCCTAGCCCCCGCCAAGGGGCTCCGCCCCTGGACCCCGCTGGGGGCTGCGCCCCCAGACCCCTGCCACAGCTACAGCTTTCTCGCTCCGCTCACTGCGCAGCTGGATTGGACACGTCGGCTCGCTTCGCTCGCCAACAGCCCCCCTCAAAGAAAAATCCTGGCTACGTCCCTGTTCCGGGCCCTAAAAAAGTAAAATTGAGAATCTGGAATCCGCCATGAAAAATCTTTGAACCGCGCGAATACAAAGACTTTTTATGCGAGCGAAGCGAGCGGGCCACAGAAAACGAAAAAATTGAGAATGTAGGAAATTAAAATTTTTTTGGATATGGGAAACTGCAAGCAACACGTGGAATAGAACAGTGATATGGAGGAAGTGATTACCATGAAAAGTTGTTACTCACCAATACAGTTATCACACATTGAGCAATGTGATGCACGTGGCGGCCTGAATATCTTACAAGTAAAGCAGTATTTCAACTTTACTGTTTCCCCGTTCACTTGGACATCTTTAGTTCGCGGTGGGTTGCGGAAATTCGCGGAACTTTGTGTTAAATCCACGTTATCTGGGAAGTAGGGTAACGGTTAAATATTATGACGGTAATATGCAAGTAATCAGTTCGTGAAATGCAAAAGAAATTACGAAAGCAATTAGAGTGTAATTGAAAGACAATTTATGTAATTCTTGGACCATGTCAACGCTTAACTTCGTGCATACAAGAAAACAAATCTTATTTTAGAGCAAAGCTTGGGACTCACTGTCAGCGCCGCGGTCGTTGAAGAGCGCCTCGTCCCCGGTGGCGCGCGGCAAGATGCCGGGATCTGAGAAGGATGTGCGGAAAAGGAAAAGAAGGGTGAAGGCTAGGAGAATTCCCGCTATGACAGGTATCATCCAGTGTATTCTAGCTGACAAAAACTCGGAGCTGAGGAGGGGGAAAGTGTGTAAATGTTATATATGGGCATCACGTGTAAGTGGTCGGTATTTTCATTATGTCGGGAGCAAAAAACATTGAGATACATATTTTGTTTTAGATGTCCTCGAAACATTTGCATGACGGTTACTAGAGTTATACACAAGTGTTATTATGTGATGTAATGGACAAGCTGTTAGCCGCCTGTTACTTGACACAGTGACTTTACCTAGAACAGACGTGTAGAAATTAGTGACGTAACTTATGTCAAAACTTGAAACACTATAACTTTCACACACTTGGTGATGAGTAACTAATTGAGTAACTAATTGGCAACCAATTAGCAGCTACTAAGGGTGCAGCAGATGAAACCAATCAATACTTACAACAGACAACTACATACTAAGTACGTACAACGACACATATCATTAGTTCAGGTACACTGTTCTCACTACACCAACTTGTCACTACTAAGAGTGTACGGGAGAGATATGATTGTAGTGCTAGTCTCCAGATATATCCACTAAATTTACACCATTTGAAGTTCTATCACCTGATTTACACGTGATTTACACGTGATTTACACGTGATTTACACGTGATTTACACGTGATTTGCACCTGATTTACACGTGATTTACACGTGAAGTACTCATCTCTGATCAGGCTGCCCCTTCATATTATGTGGTACTAATTTACTAGATTAATTTGTCTGAACAGTTCAGGGCACACGTGATTTACACGTAATAAACACAGCTACTGCTATTTCTTACAACACGATCAGTAAACACTGAGCACTTGAGCAGCGCCCGTACGTGTAGGAGAGTATTATACCCGTTATTAGGGGACGATAAATAATAATGGAACTTAATTGTGGGGAATAAGTTTCATGAGGTTATTATTAAATATTGTGTTATTGAAAATAAACCTTGCAACTTGTTTATAACATAATGTAAGTTGCTTATCATTGTACTAGCCAGTATAAGAGTTCATGTTACATGTCCCCGGGACACCACGTCCCACAACTTACATATAATACACACAGTGTGTTGCAGCCCAGCTCTTTATATTGTTTTAGATAGTTATGGGGCTTTGTTTTCAGTTAGAAGTTCAGATGTAAACAACACTCAGATCTGGTGTTAAAAAACAAAAACACACGACGAATTCCAGTGTTTCACATTGTAGTGCCACTATTATAGCCTGGTGATTATCATTGTCACTGTTATACACAGCCTCCCTATCATTGCTAAGTAATTTGATGGGAGTGAAAATATTAAATAACACTTGAAAGAGAATACATTTATGATTGAATTTGAATTATAATCTGATACTTTTTCAGTCGTAAATAATCTGCAACATTCTACAGTGTGTATTAAATTACGAGGCTTCGTGAGTTTACGACTTTCGGACATGCATTTGCCAAAAATAAAATTTATTGTTAAGATAAATTTACATCTAAAAAAACGTGCTGTGCCTCAATACTCTTATAACAAACTACACATTTTCTAAAACAATGCTATCTTACATGCCATATATAACTGTACTATACATTCTATACTTCCCAGTAGCTCACTTGACGAGCTTATACAATTTGCACACAGCAGCAAAAAAGAGATTTTCAAGTGTACACCAGAAATACACATTAAAATTGAAAACAGTGCTTTATAATACTCGAATACAGGGATTAAATGTACATTAAATGTATTGTTTGGATCAGCTTGCAGTACACAATGACACGTGGCCTAAGAAAAGTAACATTGTACAATGTACAAAGCGAATTTATCTACTATATTATTATCATTGTACGCAAGATAATGGGCATACAATGTAAAAAGACAGACTAATTATACGTGAATATATCAATTGTGATCAGCTGTAACAATAGGTGTATCACTCTACGTACATAATGGTTCAGGCTGTACTCTTGTACAGCCTGTTGAGATGTTGTATGATGTGATTTTAGCAGACGAGTTACAAGCTGCTAACAGTTCTATATTTAGAAAATTACCTTATCACCATATTCAAACCTGATATAAAATATTCTGAGGAATATAAACGTTTTTACGGTAGAGAATGTTAGGTATTTGTTAAGAAAAGATCTCCGACGCGGTCGAACGACCTGATATGTGCTACATAATATTGTGTAGTGTACTTGCGAATGTGCATTTCCCACTTCTTGATATAATGGAGAATACGGCAGCCAATCAGCTCAGTTCTCCACTAGCACGTGACAAGAAAGAACCAATCAGAGCAGAGCTCTACTTTCTGAGGGAGTGGAACGGGAATGAAAAGGACCAAAATAACGGTTTTATAAAATAACTCTTTATTAGATATTTTTAGAGAACTCTTAAAGCCGTAATGGAATCCATTACAAACTGCAACAAACTGAGGCTATCATTCTATTACATACAGAATAATAGCTCTGAGCTTGCAGCATGAGGATCTAGAACATGTGTCACGTCGTCACTTGATATTTCCTGTTTCCGGACGTTCCACAATTATAACAAACGTCACTACAAATTGGACGAGGGCTTAATTTTCAGTAATCTTAAATCTCATAATTTTACAGCCCACAGGATCAGTTTATGTTTAAATTCCAACTTTCCAGAAGATAACTAATACTGTCGACTACTTACTGAGAGGTATTTAACCCAGGTAGGGTGGGGCTGCGGCCCGCGACAGTGGGAAGGCGGATTGAGGGGTGGGAGAGGTGGAGGGAAGTAGGGTGGGGGAGGCGGAGGGAAGGAAGGGTGCCGGTGGGAGAGGTGGAGGTGGACGGAGGGGTGGGAGAGGTGGAGGCGGAGGGGTGGGGGGAGTAGGGAGGGGTGGGGGAGGCGGTGGGATGGGTGGGTGAGGCGGAGGGAGGGGTAAGAGAGGTGGAGGCGGAGGGTAGGGAAAGCAATTAGCTGTTCTTTACCAACACATAGTTAAAGAGAAGAGACTGCGAATTAATAAGGTGACCTGGTTTCTAAACATCGGGTTGAAACAGTTAAATACAGTGGTAATGGTATTTAATTGAGCATTGCCAGAACAGTTAGATCGTAAAGCTAAATGTGCTGACTTAAATACTTCCTCAATGCCACATGCAGGTTCTATTGTAAAACCAGCGCATTGGGGTGCGATAAATTTAAGTGAACGACATTTAGGTGACATTGAGCCGTGCATATTCGCAAAATATTTCAACATCTTCTCGATCTGTAACCATAATATTATGTCAAGAAATTCGAGAACAATCTTTCGACTTAGCAGCTGTCAAAACAGTTGAAGGGTAGTTATAATAAGGTAGTATAAGGTAGTAACAATGTAGTATAAGGTACAGCTACAGCTCAGGGTGATCAAAAAGTCTGGCCGAGATTTACTTTTTGAATTATTCGAAAACGGTAGGTATAACTTTTCAAGTAAGATAAGGTAAGTCCCGGCCCCCGAACCCCATAAATCCGTAACCTGATTGTCTCGCAGTTTATTTTTAGGCAAGAGAGTGAACATATATTTAAAAATAACGCTGAAAGATTTGTGCTGAATTTAACTTTAAAACAATATTCATTTACACACACCTTGTTTTAATGATTAATTAAATTACTGATGAATCTTACTTCGAAAACTTTCTAAATTTCTACAGTCGCTTACTCACTACCGTAATTACATTTTATGACTCTATGTTTAAGTAATGTGTAACCAAAGGAAAGGAGCTGAGGAAGTTTTAAACTTATTCATAACTATTTCGACTACAAAAAATGTTCCAATTGATTCTATCGAATTAATGTGAGCTGTTTGATCATTATCTTACTATATATAAAGCGAGACGATATATATATATATATATCTGTGCCATTTTACTGACACCACGGCATCAACTTTAACGCAACTTTCCGCAAAAACCGTAAAAGATATACAACTGAAACTTTTTTGACTGGGTTAAATGCTTTAATGGCCTTCAAATCAGCATGAAAAAATAAAAAATTGGCCAAGGAATAATAATTTTAGTGCCCAAAATTTGGACTCCCAAGTGGTGTCAAAAACGCGAATTAAATAGGTAATAATTATTTTAGTCTCTCGAGTCTTGACACCACTTTAGGGTTAGACGGGTTCCTGCTAGTCCGTATAACGCTTTAACCTTTATTTTTTGAACACTTATTAGTTATTTGTTATAAACATTGTAAGAGTACGACTTTATTCCATAATCTCATACCGAATGACTCTTGTACGTAGCTAATAGGTATGTAGTGATGCAATTTAGAGCGAGGGGTCAGAGTATAGGGAAGTTAAGATGTTTCACACTGCACTTCTAGAACTGGGTATTATGAGGAACACAGAAATAAAAAGTTATTAAATTAATTATACATTATCGAATGTTTGCTAATGCCATAATATTATATACAATAAAATATCAATCATAGTTACAATCCCAATAACACCCAGTCTTGTTCTATGTCACGTTAATAAATAAGTCCATAATATTAATTATATCCTAAGTAAAACTTCTGATAATAGCACCAATATTTGTTAGCCGCCGGAGGAGATATCTTCTACAACTTATCATTGTCAAAGTGAAAGGAGAGCTGCTTGAGGGTGATGGTGTTTTCTCCGCTGGTGTAGAGCTATGCTCTCTGCTTCAAATCTGCAAATTATTTGAGTAGTCTCCGAGGCTCTTCTTCTATCTTCTTCATTTTCCTTCTATCAGCTCTCTCTTTGAGAGACCGATCTGGAGACACGAACACCTTCTTGATCTTAGCGCTATGTTTCAATGATTTTGCATATACTAAATCGGTCTTTACAACAAATTGAACTTCTTTCATTTTATGATCATGTCTTAGGATGGTGGGTTTCTGAGGCTTGATCATAGTGTTCTGATAAAATATTTGATTATTCCTCAGTTGCTCAATAGTCACCGCAGCTGACCTCATCACAGATCCACTTCCTCTCATGGCATCTACAAGATTCAGAATAGAATGTGCCAGAACGTCTTTGTTAGCTTCTCTCAGTGATCCCATGTTCAGATCTGATAAACTGGTGTACCCCAATGATCCCAACATGATTTTCAGAACAGTCTCAAAGTTCTTTTCCAAGCTGTACAAGTTGTTGACATTGAAAGTCATGCTGTTCAATATTAGAATACGTACACTATCAAATATACGAAAATGACGATAGAAACCCTTTGATTAACAAGCACAACGAAATAATAGAATTGAACTGAAATATTGATTGGTTTGCCTCTGCAAGCTGACTACCTATCCGCTCCCTCATTCCTCTTCTCTTCCCATAAGGTCACCGGTTTGTTTGCCTAAAATACGGGCCCCATCCAGGGGAGAAAATGTTTCAACCTTCTTTTTACATACAATAAGAACCCTCAAAAGGCTAGTGCCAACGATATTATATCATGTAAGTACTCGTTATAGAACTTGAAGTACTGGTATTGCATCTTAGAAGCCCCACTTGGAGACAATAATCTATATAAAAATGTGCTAAGCTATGTAGAATAGTGCAGCAACATTCGTCTCGTTTATTAAAATGAGCAGTTAAACTGTGATAAAACATCCTTGTAAACATTCCAACTACACGATACTAACAACGGCAACTTTTATTTATTATGTGATAATAAAATCTAGTAATTATTTTCCCTACAACATCATGCATATTATATTCTCTTTAAGAAATTGCTCGTAGGATTTTATTGTGCTTAATTTTCAATTTTTATATTTATGCATGCGATACATCAGTACTGAAAAGTGCAGACTACAATCCAGATTCCATTTTAAAATACATAGTGCATATTATAACTATGATCACGTGACATACAAGTTGGAGTTACTCCAGCGGTTAATTTTATCAGGGTTACTATTAGTATCATTATATATAATAACGAAGTTCAGCATTGTTATGGAGTGGTGAAAGGTTACAATTTACATGCATTTACGTTATTACAACATTACGTGCCTTGCTTCCCCACTAGTATCCACATTTTACATCACATAATATTATAATCAATTAAAATGTTATAAATTAGCTAAATAATTGAACTTACTCGAACACGAAGAACAGAACACAGACCCCAATGAGCAGAACTAGAGTTACGAAGAAGACGTTAATCTGCTTCGCCATTATAATTCGGCCTCCACAAAAGAAGCGATTCTTTCCTGAAACGTAAGAAAGTTCGTTATAATCATGTAAAACGTTTACATTACGGTTTATAATATGGTTTAACGTTTAAATTACGGGTTACATTATATTTTACAGTACGTGTTATGTCTAAACAGTAAACAACGATAATATACATGCTTAGTAAGTGTGTATATTGTCATGACGGATATGTTTATCCGAGACCGATAAAATATAAATCCTTGCATAAATGGTATCAGTATTACGACGAGCCATTTCTCTGCCATTTTGATACAGTTATGTAAAGAATTTATACTGTATATGGTGGTAGGAGTGATTTGTCCGGAAGTTTAAAGCACTATCTACGGAACTCTTAAGCTGACTGGTGACTAAGTGCTTGCAACATTCATAGGATTCATCATGATATAAAGTAACTACCATTTAACTTTTATCACATCCTGTAGTTCAGCATTATTATTAAGCCTAATAGCTGAGGGTCAACATATATATCTAAAAGTTGCAATATAATATGTTATATGTAATACGTATCTACTATATTAAATATTTACAGTAATGTGGATAGCATTCTCATGTCCAGAGAGCAGAAAGGAGCACATATTATTACACACAATGATATATTAAAAACGGACATATCACAAAATTCGTACTTAAGACGGTGTTCAACAATATTATTGATGACTTGTATAAACATATAAGTTGATTTTATCAGATGTTTACTTTTAAAGACCATGGCCAGTTTTGAGCTGAAAGTTTATACCTTATACGCAAAAATGATAACCAAACTTTTGAGAATATCTAAAAACACCTTGGTGCTGAATTTGATCTATTGAAATACCCTCACGTACTGTACTCGAGTCACCAAATAACATCAACTTTTTTCAACTTGTTCACAGCAAATGGGGAGCCAACTTTGAACAGCAAATGGGGAGACAACAAATCTAACTAAAAGAGTGGACCTCTATTGTACTGTTAGGTATGTGAGAGTCGGTGAAAAATAACATATATCTACAGAACCTGTAGGTGTTGTTTGGGTCGACTTATTAAAACATTTGACTGATCACAAATCAGGTAGGTTTCCATACTAGATTAAAATGATAAATTTCAGTACAACTCTAGACCTAACTGCGTTATATATTGTAATTGCAGTTTTTACTAGTACTCTGAAGCGAGGGTAAGTTGTGGTGAAATTTAGCGCGTGTATTGAGTATGACGTACAATTGAGTACTTACTAATTAGTCATTAAAATGTTAGATAGATTTTTCTTTATCTTCAAAGATATGCAGTCAAAGAGTCAAGCTTTTAAGTTAAATATGTAAACCCATGTCCTATAATCATATTACATTCAATCGTCCATGATTGATTGTAAATATTTAACACGAATTTAAACTGAAATCTGAATCCCTCTTCTGATATTATTCGAGATACTAACACAACTAGTTCTACCCAGCTGAGTACTCCTGAGTACTGGTCACTGGTGGGTGCTACTGAGTACTGGTCACTGGTGGGTGCTACTGAGTACTGGTCACTGGTGGGTGCTACTGAGTACTGGTCACTGGTGGGTGCTACTGAGTACTGGTCACTGGTGGGTGCTACTGAGTACTGGTCACTGGTGGGTGCTACTGAGTACTGGTCACTGGTGGGTGCTACTGAGTACTGGTCACTGGTGGGTGCTACTGAGTACTGGTCACTGGTGGGTGCTACTGAGTACTGGTCACTGGTGGGTGCTACTGAGTACTGGTCACTGGTGGGTGCTACTGAGTACTGGTCACTGGTGGGTGCTACTGAGTACTGGTCACTGGTGGGTGCTACTGAGTACTGGTCACTGGTGGGTGCTACTGAGTACTGGTCACTGGTGGGTGCTACTGAGTACTGGTCACTGGTGGGTGCTACTGAGTACTGGTCACTGGTGGGTGCTACTGAGTACTGTCACTGGTGAGTACTCCTGAGTACTGGTCACTGGTGGGTGCTACTGAGTACTGGTCACTGGTGGGTGCTACTGAGTACTGGTCACTGGTGGGTGCTACTGAGTACTGGTCACTGGTGGGTGCTACTGAGTACTGGTCACTGGTGGGTGCTACTGAGTACTGGTCACTGGTGGGTGCTACTGAGTACTGGTCACTGGTGGGTGCTACTGATATCTACGACAGTGTACAGTTTGGTCTAGTTAGATACTTGTAAGAAGTATGTGGAATAACGTACCAACGTGACGTACTACCACTATACAAACACCACCATGTATATATTATACACAAACTACGCCTTGATTATCTCAATACAGGCGAGTGCAGTGTGCACATGGCCCGGTCAGTATACAGCTTGGCCAGTACATGTGGTCCGGTAAGTACATGTGGCCTGATCAGTACAGGGCCCGGTAAGTACATGTGGTCCGGTCAGTACAGGGTCCGGTAAGTACATGTGGTCCGGTTAGTACAGGGTCCGGTAAGTACATGTGGCCTGATCAGTACAGGGTCCGGTAAGTACATGTGGCCTCATAAAGTACATTTCCTGGAATGTCTCATAAAGCTACCTACATTCCTCCACCAACATTCCTCTCCCCTCTCATTAATAGCGCACCTGTCTCATTTAAACTCATTTACAAAGCCTCGCATCACACAACTGGTTTGAGATATTAGAATGTGTATTGCAAGTAATGAACGTGCAATATTTCGGTGTTATTTTCGTGAGGTGCAAGATAATCAGAGCAGCCTGGCTAATTTACTAATTTCCACCCTCGTTAGGGGCACATAATAACCTGTAATGGGGCCAGCTTGGCCTTTTAATCACTTCCGCTATCTCATCATTTGGACCAAGTAGGTATAATCATCTAAACCGAGGAACGCTTAGAGATCTTTCAGAATCCTGACCCGAGATTAGCTTAACTCTAAAACTCTGGCATGTACCCAGGAATTTTGACGGGAACTTGCCACTAAGTAGACGGACAGCTACCATAACACACAGTTAGGGGGTTATGATCTCATGGGGTTCATGGCAAGAGGAATTTAGTAAAACCATTATATAGCAGAGGATTGAGGGAAATTGTGGGATAGCAAAATCAAGCATAGTGGTAATAGTGGTAATAGTGGTAATAGTGGTAATACTGATAATACTGGTAATACTGATAGTGATAATGCTGGTAATACTGGTAATAGTGGTAATAGTGGTAATAGTGGTAATACTGGTAATAGTGGTAATACTGGTAATAGTGGTAACAAAGCTGTATTAATAAACTAGTGACACACCCGCATTATATTTGTTGAGACTGTCTATATCAGTATATCATACACACAGTTAAATCAGCTAAAAGGATTACAGTAGATACACTAAAAACTAACACGATGTGACCAGCTAGAGAGCTAATAGCTTAAAAAACAATAGTGGAATTTGAAGAAGCTCGACTTAAACTGTACATACCATATTCGCTTTCAATTGGCTTCTTCTTAGAGAAGGAAGATTTCTTCGAGAAGAGAGGAAGCATCTCTTTTGATAGAAGCAATGAGTCACGGAGCCAGATCCATTGAAAGTATGAGATTCTACTGATGTATTTAAGTGAAATGACTACTGTTTAAAAGGTTTGCTAGTTAACTATAAAGCTCAAATTCGTGAAGCTCACCAACTAAATTAAACACACAGCTCGATAACAAGATACCATTTAAACATAACAAAGGCCCCGAAACATCGTGGCAATGTGGTAGAAACTGAAGAAAGTCAGCAAACTGAACATGTCCTTAACAATAGTAAAATCCATCTCGTGGAATGTCCAGGTTAAGAACGCACGGAAAGCAGGCGGAGTGCGGCGGAGTGCTGACCTATAATTGCTCATTTGGTCAGGTACAACCGCAGATACGTTGCTCCAGAGAGAAAGAGAGGAGGAGAGGAGAGAGAGCCAGATTAGGGCGGAAAGAGAGCTGGCGATTGGGAGTTTGGTCCTGTGCCTGCTCAGAGACGGGAAGCTAATTATACCTGCAATAATGGACGTAATGATATGTTTCATATGCGGATATAAAGGATTCTGAAGATTCTGGGATGGCAGGGTGTTTCGTCAAAAATTAAATCTTTCAATAGACATTCAATGTTGAAATCAAATCGTCTTATTGGTTCCCGGTTAAACAATTGAAAACCTTCTAAATGTTAAGTTGAACTCTGATATAAAATATCTCTCCTGCAGTTTTTTTAGAAATGCGTATCTATTATCACCGATGCACTCAACATGGCTTTTAGTTTGACCAGTTTTTTATCCGAGAGCGTTATCGCATTCATTCTGTATTTATGAGCGATAACGTAATTCATTTTTCTCAAAAAACGTTTATTCGAAATAAAGCGATGCTAAATTTAACATTTCTCAGAAAAACACAAATTTCATCTTGCTGGCTTTGCACGCTTATTTTGAATCTCATCCAACAAAGAAATTGTCAAAATTTTTCATAAATTGATAACATCGAAAACAACACGTGACTTAAACTATTTGGCAGTTCACTAAGCTTTGGAGGTTGGAGCGAATTTTAAAACCCAAGTTTTCAACATTCGAAAGTCGTCTTGAAAAGAAGAATAGAAGATTTATTCCACACTTCAAGAAAGTGTTATGAGAAGAAGTGGTATTGCAGTGTGTTAATTATACCTTTATACTCAATACTGCACTGGACATCCACTTCTTAGATCTGAGATTTCCAGAATCTATAATAATTTGGTACAGTGAGGCGATATGCATAGAGAGGGGGCGCGGGCGGGGGGCTTGCAAGAGAATTTTAACTACCTTACTCGGGAATATTATAACGGGTTAATTTATGACTGGGAAAATTAATGACTAGACCGGGAAAAATATGGCGGAATTTTCCAAAACCCACCAAGCATCAAAATGTATTACTATTAGTTTACCTTACTCGGGAACATTATAGCGGGTTAATTTATGACTGGGAAAATTAATGACCGGGAAAAATATGGCGGAATTTTCCAAAACCCACCACTTTATCCCAGTCATAATATTCCCGAGTAAGGTACATGCCGGGAAGTTATTTCAAATAAATGACTGAGGAAGAGTGGATTTCGATTTAAAATATTTATTTAAATTTAAATAAATGTGGTCTGTGAACAATATTGCAAGAAACTTACAATCTCATAGGCTGTCACAAAGAGGCAAGTGCCAAACTGTCGATGTAAAAAAGAGCGGAAACATTCCGACAAGGCCCGTGTTACTCTGAATCAAATTTAATGAAGACGATTTTAAATATACCCATGTTATTAACTGTACCTAAGTGGCTAAGTTGACCCAGTTTCACTATGTTTCACTATGTTTCACTATATTTCACCCTAGACACACAGGTGTATAAGTGATACGTGTCTTTATAGTGACAATTCGGGGATAGCGCGACACCATTACACAGTTGTGATAAAGCACAAAGTAAAGCACAAAGTAATCTGTCAGACTGCTAATGATATAAGTACAGACAGTGAATTATTAAGTCGGAATTAAATCTCACAGTGCATAATATATTGTACACCTACACACTACCAGCATGCACTGAAGAAAAGTGGTCAAAGTCAAGATGTCAAATAAGCTAAGAAAAAGTGTAATAGATACAACTGTACTATTTATTTTAAATTTGCAATTCATTTTTACCAAAATAAGACTAATAGTTATATTTTTTTCGCTCTTGTGAGTGCGTCGATCATACATACATATATTTGATAGTTTGGGACGAATTGAGAGTATCCAGTATCCACTCGGTGTATAAAACAAAATATTAGGGAATATTATCGACGTTTCGGCAAAATGCGGCTAACCTGGAAAAACCTGCCATCTCTTTTTTGACATGTTACATGAAACTCTGTCTCTGTTTGCAGCTTGTTTTCCCGGACTGGTGGGTTTAGGCCCTGGTCACGTGACTGCCTGGTAGAATGAACCTCCCGGTACTGATTTATCACTCCATCTCAAATCATCCTACAACAGTTCAACAGTTAATATCACAGTAAATTAAACATTATCATACAATTGTTTACATTTTGCGGCTGCAACAATCATTTCTCATGGGGATATGTACAAAGTACATTATATCATTTAATTCAGGCAGGTCATTTTAATTTGAAATAGTACACCAATTACAATGAAGGGAATCCGCGTGTTGCTATATTATATTTTATATAGTAACTTGTGTATACTGTATTGTAATATCGAACTACTCGCTAAAAGTCTTTGTTTTGAGGAATATTTCTTGGAATTTCAACTGAATATTCATCCACCTGCACCAAGGCACAGGCTAATAATGATTTATCGTCAATGAAACAAATTTATCTAGTATTACTAGTAGTAATGCAAACATCACATCTTGACACATTATAACCTTATAATCACAAATTCAGTTACCGTGATATTTATAAGTTAATTTGTTGTGCAAACAATTTGGCAGCATAATCAAAAACTGCTTTAATAAGTTAATAGCTTCATACTTAGAAACATAGAGTAGCTTATCTCAGAATACCCTCGAGGTAATGACGTTGTGTGCTCATGAATTTACAGGTCCAGTGCAAAAATATAATCCAAATTATGCAATGCTATTTATTTATTACAAAGTGGATCAATTTGATTGTCTTGTAAGTCTATTGATAGGTTTGTGAGATGCCGTGACGAGCTCGTTCCTCCCATCTTCTGTTTCCATCTCTGATGTGATGGAAGTAGCCTTGTTCCATTAGGTAAACCTGAGATAGATTTAAATTACTACAACTACATATTACGATGCAGTAAAACTGCAACACTATAATATGTCTGTTGGTGCAATTGAAGTCTGGTGAAACACTTTAATGGTTAAGTCAAAACTACATTCACATATTTTATACAGTGCAAGATCAAATGTCCAAATCACGAGTCTATTAACCGTTTGCTCTTGTCGGAGTCTATCGAAGAAGTAAAACTTAGACTTGATACCAAACAGGATGAAACCCACAGAAAGCACCCCCCAAACACTGAAATGAATTTTATCGGTTATTGTTTGAATTGATGAGATTGCATAGCCAATAGCCATGGAGGGCCGAATCTTATGTGAAGCTTATCGTTTAAGTATTACATTTCACTTTGAAAAGCAAACAAATTTAGCACACAACTTACTTAGGTTTCAAATGTGGTATAAGTCTCCGGACATCTTTAAAAGGAACCGATGGTGTGACCATACCTGGTCACGTGATCATTATTAGGATTATTAATATACAAATAACACCTAAAATTATATTTAAGCATATTAACGAAACTAGCCAATGCAATCATGATATGAAACAATTATTCAGTTCATATAATTCTTGCAACCATAATAAACTGCCAAATAGGTAACTCCCACTCCTCAACAAATGTGGGAACTCCCACAATAGAAGACCTAAAATCGACCTCAAAATCTAGAAATAACAGAATCAAATACGTAACATGAATCAAATACTGTAACATGAATTATTAGATAATTTTATGAAGAGTATTATTATTGCCCACTTGAAGGGGACGGCTGATCATAAGTTACATTATAATTAACTGATTTAAATTTAATAATAATATCTCAATCCTCAACCATAAAGTTGGTCATAACCTATTTAATGGCCAGTTTATTTTGCAGCTCTCAGCAACCTACAATATGCTAGTCCAGAGCACATATATTCTAAACACATGCAGACAGGAAGCAGATGTATTCATTGCCAAAACTGATGGCTCCATGCCCAACGCTAGAAAGTCGAGAATCCAGCAACCAGGTTCCTAGCAAAATCTTGCCTAAAATAATGTTTGAATCTTCATTTCAACGTTTTCCGATAACTCTGCCACCTCTCACCTCGACTACTTAGATGAATGTCAGAAATCACATTACTTCATACTTGGTAGATACAAATTTAATGGAAATTTTTAGAGCAATTTATTTTAAAAATATCAGCACGCATTCTTCAGACCCTGTGTTGCTGTTCTAAATTTATGTCAAGAGATAAGAGTTATTCAAAAATTTGCTAATAGCGTTATCATATTTTATACATGTGTGCATATATTTATATTTGATTGTAATTAAAGATTTTAAGGCGTTAGTGCTGAGTAATGCCTCCCTTAGTGCTGAGTAATGCCTCCCTTCATCAGCATATCCGAAGGAGCAATTAAGACGGCAGTAAAGGAGTACTTACACGGAATCTATCTTCGTAGATACAGGAACACGGCACTGAGTGAGAAAGGGAAAATCCCACTAACAATCCTACTCACCAAATATAAATACAGGAATCTTGGACTTGCAGGAAATCATCAAAGGTGGCTAACCTGGCTCTTCGCAGGACATAGCCCCCTGGCCTACTTCCAATACAAAGCAAACAATTTCACATCCCCCCGCTGTGAACACTGTCCAGAAGAGGAGGAAACCTCGGAACACGACATGTGTTACTGTATAGGATACATGACCATGAGGTTAAGAATTTTCGGTAATATATTTCTAACCTGGGAAGACATAGTCACAGCTAGAATCAGTACGGTTATAAAATTCATTGAGGCAACCAATAGACTATTAAATGAGGATCTTTTCGAGGATCCTATTAACCACTAACACAATTAGGACAACTTGCAGATTAATAGGGATTGACCGTCCCTGGAAGTCCCTGTCTCCTCATCGTTAACCCGTAAGGGGTTGCACCAGGGGCAACAGAACTTCAAGACTCTCAGAGTCTGTTGTCGATATCTATGTGTAATATAATTATGGGGGGGGGGGGGGGTGACATGTCTCCAATGTCTCCAATGTCTTTTGTCTTTTTTGAAAAGATAGGGTGCAGAGACATGTCCTGGAGACATTGGAGACATTGGAGACACAGCTTTTGGAGACATTGGAGACATTGGAGACATTGGGGACATAAGAGACATTGGAGACAAAGCTTTTGGAGACATTGGAGACATTGGAGAGACTGGAGACGTAGATGTATGATTGGAGAAGGAGGAGGATCTAGGAGGAGGATGACCCAGGAGGAGGACTCAGGAGAAGGAGGAGGATGAGGACTCAGGAGGAGGACTCAGGAAGAGGACTGAGGAGGACTGAGGAGGAGGACTGAGGAGTACTGAGGAGGATGGCTGAGGAGGATGGCTGAGGAGGATGGCTGAGGAGGATGGATGAGGAGGATGACTGAGGAGGAGGACCTAGGAGGAGGAGGACCCAAGAGGAAGAGGACCCAGGAGGAGGACTCAGGAGGAGGAGGAGGAGGACTCAGGAAGAGGACTGAGGAGGACAGAGAAGGAGGAAAACTGAGGAGTACTGAGGAGGATGGCTGAGGAGGATGACTGAGGAGGATGACTGATAGGGAGGAGGAGGAGAAGAAGGACTGAGGAGAAGGAGAAGGAGGAAGACCTAGGAGGATGAGGACCCAGGAGGAGGACTCAGGAGGAAGAGGAGGAGGAGGACTCAGGAGGACTGAAAAGGAAGAGGACTGAGGAGAACTGAGGAGGAGGAGGACTGAATAGGAGGAGGAGGAGGGGGACTGGGGGAGGACTGAGGATGAAGAAGACTGACGAGAAGGATGAGGAGGAGGACTGAGGAGGAGGACTGAGGACTGAGGAGGATGAAGAGGATGAAGACCTAGGAGGAGAACTCAGGAAGAGGACTGAGGAGGACAGAGAAGGAGGAGGACTGAGGAGTACTGAAGAGGATGACTGAGGAGGAGGAGCAGGATGAGAAGGACTGAGGAGGAGAAGGAGAAGGTGGAGGAACTAGGAGGAGGATGAACCAGGAGGAGGACTCAGGAGGAAGAGGAGGAGGACTCAGGAGGAGGACTTAGGAGGAATGAGAAGGAGGAGGACTGAATAGGAAGAGGAGGAGGAAGACTGAATAGGAGGAGGAGGAGGGGGACTGGGGAGGACTGAGGAGGAGGAGGACTGACGAGAAGGATGAGGAGGAGGACTGAGGACTGAGGAGGAAGAGGAGGAGGATGAAGAGGACCCAGGAGGAGGAGGACTGAAGAGGAGGACTGAGGATGAGGACTGACATGAGGAGGAGGAGGAGGACTGAGGAGGACTGAGGAGATTGGCTGAGGAGGATGACTGACAGGGAGGAGGAGGAGGACTGAGGAGGAGGAGGAGAAGGACTGAGGAGGAGAAGGAGGAGGACCTAGGAGGAGGAGGATCCAGGAGGAGGACTCAGGAGGAGGAGGAGGACTCAGGAGGAGGACTCAGGAAAACTGAGGAGGAGGAGGAGGAGTGAATAGGAGGAGGAGGGGGGGGGGACTGGGGGAGGACTGAGGATGAAGAAGACTGACGAGAAGGATGAGGAGGAGGACTGAGGAGGAGGACTGAGGACTGAGGAGGATGAAGAGGAGGAAGACCTAGGAGGAGAACTCAGGAAGAGGACTGAGGAGGACAGAGAAGGAGGAGGACTGAGGAGTACTGAAGAGGATGACTGAGGAGGAGCAGGATGAGAAGGACTGAGGAGGAGAAGGAGAAGGTGGAGGAACTAGGAAGAGGATGAACCAGGAGGAGGACTCAGGAGGAAGAGGAGGAGGACTCAGGAGGAGGACTTAGGAGGAATGAGAAGGAGGAGGACTGAATAGGAAGAGGAGGAGGAAGACTGAATAGGAGGAGGAGGAGGGGGACTGGGGAGGACTGAGGAGGAGGAGGACTGACGAGAAGGATGAGGAGGAGGACTGAGGACTGAGGAGGAAGAGGAGGAGGATGAAGAGGACCCAGGAGGAGGAGGACTGAAGAGGAGGACTGAGGATGAGGACTGACATGAGGAGGAGGAGGAGGACTGAGGAGATTGGCTGAGGAGGATGACTGACAGGGAGGAGGAGGAGGACTGAGGAGGAGGAGGAGAAGGACTGAGGAGGAGAAGGAGGAGGACCTAGGAGGAGGAGGACCCAGGAGGAGGACTCAGGAGGAGGAGGAGGACTCAGGAGGAGGACTCAGGAAAACTGAGGAGGAGGAGGAGGAGTGAATAGGAGGAGGAGGGGGACTGGGG